AATTTTATCTGTAATGTTGAGTCTGCAGGCCACAAGATGTCAGTGTAACAGTCATCCTATTAAAGCGATCAATTGTACTTAAGACTCAGAAACGAAAGGTTTGCAATTATAATCTAGGTCTTAGGGGGTATTAGGGGTTGAGACCCGACACCGGGCCAACTCTCGAAAGCACTGGCACAGGCATCAAAATTTGTCTTGCCTTGAGGAGGATTCGAACCCTAAGCACCTAAATTGGAGTTGGGTGATGTTTGTCAGAACCTGCATCAACACCAATATAAAGACCATCCCATACAAATAAAATACCCCCCCCCCCCTCCATTCCTCCCCATAATAGCACTCCCAATTAACATTTAGTACCTGAATTCACCGCTTAGTCCCGCTATCTATCCCCTTTCTTTACTCCCTAGGTTTAGTACTTTACCAGGCTGATAAAGATAGTCAAAATGTGAGAGGTTCTGTGAGGTTCATTAAAGATATTATTTTTCTCTCATAACCTTCTTTTCTCACATCTTCTAGGTGTATTCGATTCTAGCACCAACTAAACTAACGCTCAACATCTCAACAACATCTCGGTCATATCTTCTCAATTTCACGTTTTCATTTTTAACTCTGTGATCTATTAGCACGGTGCCGACAATCGCAGAAGTTTCAGGAATTTTTTTTGCTTGTAGATTGGAAGGAAGATATACGTTGTTTGACGTTTGTTAGCTAACAGATCTTTTTTGTGTTCTCAAGTTCTGGAATATTGTAACAAAGTCTTGAATTTTGGTATTTTTAAACAAGGTGAGTTCGATTTATTTTCGTTTTTCTGGAATAATAATTTGTTCGACATGTTCGACATAATTGGCACGCAATGTGACCTACTAATTTTGTTGATATTGAAGAATTTTTCCATCTGGTATCCCTAATGCCTCATTATTTTACAGAATACACATGTCGATATGTTAAGAATGAAGTATGGTTGTAAAATGTAAATTCTTAAATTTCTAGACCGAAAAATAAAATGAATGGAGTTTTATGTCTTACTTATCTGTACCTGATTCGGCTAATGATGACGGGCAACATCATGCGGTGTGCAAATAGGGAAACTTTTGCCAAGAAAGCGGCATAAGGCTATATCGTCTGTCAGGTCGGAGTGTCCACTATAATCTTATTAATAAGAGTAGTATAAACTATAAAGACGATGATATCTATGATGATTGATAGAGGCCTGATGAAAATAATATTTATTTAATTAGAATATTTTAATTAACGGTTATCGTTCTGGATAGTTTAAATACAAAACATTTATTCTGTCTACAGATGATACGTATCTATCAGATATAGGCCTACTAGAGTATATAACACATACCTTTTAGCATCGCTAGGTAAGCAGCCCCATCTTCACAATGTCAACCTATTACGAACTTCGTCTTATACCTTGACTGCAGTAGTCACCTTTCTGTATCATGAAAATTTGTGAATTCAGCGGTTTGATTGGATTGTGCTCTGCTGAATACAGTCGGAGCCATCGACATGAAGACAATATGGCTTTGCATTCACAGACTTTCTATCAAGGCCTCTGATAGCATACAATCCGATCTTCATTCACAGACTTCCATGATACAAGAATAGTGGCTTTTGCAGTCAAGGTATAAGAGGAAGTTCGAAATAGCTTGACATTGTGAAGATGGAAGATCTTTACCAATTAATAGTATTCCTGATATCACTCTACTGCTGTGTATTTCAGAACTTCTTAAAACCCGTACCCTAAGCCCAATAATTTATACCAGATCAGCCATTTCCTTTCCAGAAATAGGTCATTCCCGACTTGAAGTGTAATTTATCTGATAAATGTCGTATTTCCTGATAATTTTGGAATAAAGGCGACTTTCAGGCGAGAAACATGGTGTCTTCTAAAAGAGTTAAAGAGATAGATTGGGGCTACCTTAATTAACCTGTTTCTGTCTATAGATATCATATCAATAATGAGGCAGGAATATTAATAATAACATTCTTTGATGTACCAGAAATAGAGTCACCCACAGAAAGTACACGAAACTACGTATCCAGGTTGATTGAATGGAGTTTTACGTTCTACTTTTAATGCCATGCAGAGTGCAAAGAGGGGCATTTTGCCAGGACAGCGGCATCAGTCTACTCTTTATCAATTAGAACAATTAAACGCCTTTTCCATGTAGGCCACTCCAACCTGCATCACTGACAGAGGGAAACTCGGGTTGAAAAATCTGAAGGTTTTTTTTTTTACCTATGCCGCGATTGAACCTTGGACCTTCAGGTTAGCGAACAAGCGTCTAACAGAGCCACTGCGAATCCTTCATTTTGATTGGAGTGATTCCTCATTCGGTCAAGGTTGGTTGGTTGGTAGATGACAAGTTAACGTTCGTTTCCAGTGGATGCTGATATCACAAACTATCATTCGGTCAATCTGACCACAAAGCTAAACACTAAACACTGACCACATGTTGACCAGCTGTTTTGATCATTATCTGAGACTATAGACAGCCGTGTTTTATTTCCTACTCCGGTTTGTTTGTAATTAATAGTGATTAGTTTTTAATTACTCTACTGTTTTTAACTGTATAATATACAAGGGGGTGTGAAGTGGCGATACCAGCCTTCTAGAACTGGGAGAATGTAATATAGGGACAGGCTTACTTAACGGGAGAGGGGAGGTTAGGGGGGCGGTCTGTTGAAGATTCCAAATATACAAGGGGGTGTGTTGTAGCGGTACTAGCCTTCTAGAACTGGGCGAATATATTTGGACAGGCTAACTTAATGCTAGGGTGGGTTCTCTATAAAACCTTATACCCCCCCCCCCTTCCTTACCCCTTCCTCTTGTTCTTGTTCCTGATAATTAATTATCCCGGCTTGACATGAAATTTGGTTGTTTTGACAAGATTAACCTGTCAAAGTATTTCTCCTGATGAAAATGTAAAAACCAAATCTAAGGTGTTGAATATTATCACGGCTAATTCTGTTCTAAGATGTTAGAATCGAGATTCTGTTGATGGATGGGATCATCGACCCAATCTGATATCTTAATAAAACCTGCAAATAGACGCCCGGTACGGTGTAAGGTCTGGTACGATGTACGGTGTCCGGGGCGGTGTACCGTCCAGTACGGTGTGGAATTATCAATACAATAGAATGAAGTGGAAGCGAATTCTGTCCGCACCTTGCCCTCGTATATTCACATCTTCTGTTTTCAACTGTATCGATAATCCATACAAATCATTCATTAATACCGACATAGGAGTTCCTTTATTTTTAGCAACAAAGAAACGTACACGTACAGAATTAAAAATACAGATTTATAAAAGATCAAGTTTTAACCCGGGGAATAAGTTTTCATTCTTTCTGTTGTATGTTAGTTTAGAAATTTGACTCAGAGTGATTTTAATTGTGGGGTTTATAGGTTTTATAAGAGATAGTCTCTTATAGAAGCACTGGCCAAGGTCACAAGTAGGGTTTGTAGATTTCAGCATTGGTTGTGAAAGATTTGTTTGTTATTGCAAGCTGGAAAGTGTTGTTCAGTGTAACCTCAGGGTAAACGTGCATTTTTAAATTTGAGCAAATTTTCTTTGAAGTTGACTAGAAATCGTACTGCCTATACGTTTCGGATATAGAATTAACATCAGGATAGTTGGTTTGGTTAATTTTTGTTATAGAAGCACGGTAATTCGTCTGTGTAGGAACGAGATGGTATAGATCTTCTGTTAAGAATTAAAGGTATATTCAAGGAATTTGTTGTATTTGATTATTTTCCTGGTTTTGATCTAAAACTCGCCATGAATGTGTTAAACGTATCATAAGAATATTTACAGGTTTATATGGAGAGTAATTAGGGTCGTAAACTAGACGAAGATTTCAGGTTAAAGCTGCAGGTAGACGTATTTAGAGATCTAGTACTGAGAGTGGAGAAGTTCCGAAAAACTCCTTTTTAAAGCAAAATATAAACTAGTGCGAAGTTAACTTATAATACTATACTTAGTTTTAAACATAAAAACTTACAGTAATCTACAATAAATGTAATAAATATTAAGTCTTCTTGTCATCAGTGAAACCTATTGTTTCGATAAAATTTAGGTGATAAGATCATATTGAATAGTTGAACACAATTTCAAGATATTCTACTAACAATCGTTACAGATATATTTAAAAATGATAAATGATGTAAGAAAGAGAACCATTGTATCTTTACATTCAAACAGTAATAATTTGTATTGAAGTGTTGAAGGAGTTTTAGAATGATGCCATATTTCTAGAGTTTATAATACCACAGTACCAACTGGACAGTCAGTATTTTAAATTAGTAACATCTGGTATAAGTTAAAGTATTTTATTAGACTGTAGTTTATCTTTCAAACAGTGAACACTAGTGAGTACATACAGTCGACCCGGGACTCAACGCTTTTTAACATATTCCAAGTACATACCAAAAACATATACAAGATAGTGAAGGATAATTTTTCAGATTTTCTCGACGTATTAGTTGTAGTACATTGGTAAACTGACGCCAGTTTTCAGAACCTTGGTGTGAAATTCAAGACATTAATTTTCAGGAATTTCTGACGTCGTGACTGGAATTGGTACTAAAAAGAATCTCGGTGTATTTTTTAATTCTGTGGTAGTGTTGTCTTGGATCGTGATTTTTTGGACATTTTGTCTTGGTAATTGTCTATTGAACTGGAATTGGTTCCAGTCTGTGAGACATTTACAGGAACCGACTCTATCTAAGTATTGGTTTACAGCTAGAATAGAGTAGAATAGTTGAAATATTCGTGTCGGTTGAAGTAGAAATATGACAGCCTGATTTTCAAACCAACACTTGTTATTCAGTGTCGACTTTTACAACCTAACTTCAACATTATTTTGGATTTGAACAGCGATTTTAACTCGTTTAGTTCCTTTAGTTTTGAAATTTTTGGGATTTTAACCGCTTTTAGTTCGTGAAGTTTTTGAAATTTAGGATTTTTGGATTTTATTATTTGGGAACTATGGAAGGTCACGATCAACACCCAGAAGATTTACAGGAACAAGTTCAAGACTCTGGGGAGCAAGTGCCACAGGAGAACGTCCAAGCAGAGCCAGAGCAAAATATTAATGAATCAAACGCTCAAGAAGAGATTCCAGAGCAGGTAGAGCAAATTGAAAGCGCTCAGGATCCGGAGCCAGGAGAAGCTCCACCGATTGAGGAACCGCTTATCCATCCAACAGAGCAGCCTGCAGAGCAAGTAGAACCAGGTCAACATACAGAGCCACTGAATTCCACCAACACTCTGGAAGTACTCGACGAAACCGAACCAGTTCGCGATCAACAGGAAAGTCCTAAACAAAAGAAAAGTAAGTTCTCTCCGGCTTTGTTTCAAAAACTCGTCTTGCTTTTTTTGAAGATGCGCCCTATTTTTGGTTGCATTAGTTTATGGGAATATTTTGTCATTTGATGGTACGGAACACATCTTGCCAACATGTGTGTTTTTACAAAATGAAAAAACGCTGATATAATTTCCGTTTGCCCCTTTCCAAATTTAAATATTTAAAACATTGACGAAATACCATTAACATTTTAATACATCAACAAAGGTACATAAACAAAACATTTTATTGATCTAAGCACAGGTCTGATTAAGTATTTTATTGGACTTGGGATAGTATGGGCCATGTTCAGTACAAATACTTTTTAAACGTTGCAATTAATCTTGTAACATGCCTATTAAATACAAATGGGAAAACTTCTTCAATACATGTTCGTATACTGAACGTCTGTATTGTGACAAATATATTTGCATGTTTTTAATAAAACAGAATTATACAGATATATAGATTGCTAAAACACTATGCACTATTGCCCCTCTGGATATAGTACTTGCGCCTCTGGTTATTAGCTTGCCCCTCCGAACAATCAAGTCTAGTTACGGGCCTGGAATTATGGCTCCAAATTTGAAAAATGATGATGAAATCTTCTGTTTAAAAGCTTCAACTGTCAACCCGTCTGTCTTATTTTTGATTTGATGGTATCTTGTTTCGTTATACACCGAACATAAATACAAAATACACACAGCTTAAACTCCATATAACATCTTTTATTGAAGATAAAACCAAATACCAGATGATATCAAATCTTCCCGAGTATTTTTACACATATCAAGTATTCTTTCATTCCTCAAAAATACGTTAGATGATTTCACGTTTTGAAACCAATACGTTATCAGTTGTATACTTTATCTCGCATGCGTTACCATGGTTACCGGTACCTCAGTTTGGAAGGTCAAAAGGTCAGGTTGTAATTAATCTTTATAAGAAGTTTTTAAAATTTGGAGATGTAAATATTGTGCCATGTGGTTTCTGAAAGAAGGTTTCTGTTTTTAGTGCATGCTTCACTCCTTTGATTATTGTATAGATGAAATCTGGTGCCGACTTTCAAGTTCAATTTTAATATCAGATGTTGCATCATTGCAGAAAAGATATTCCTTAAGTTTTCGACTGAAGTTTCAAATCAAGTGCCATGTATTTTCGGGTGTATCTTTCAAGTATTCAAATGTTGTTCATTGCAGATGATGTTAATATTCTTCATGTTTCCGTTCTTTTTTCCAATGAAGTGCCATTACTGATGATATATTTTTAAGTTTTCGGCTTTGATGTTTAGATGTAGTGTTACTACAAATGCTATATTCACTATGTTAAAATGCTATATTCACTATGTTAAAATGCTATATTCACTATGTTAAAATGCTATAGGGAATCCAAACTGGTGATTGAATGTTTTTACAACAAATAATATTATAGAATATAGTAAATAGTATACCAGTTATTATCAGTACCACAGTATCTCTGATCAATTCTGACCAGGTTACTACAGTTCACAAGATGACTGAAATGTTTTCCTATCTCTATTTTAAGTTCTTCTTCCCTCCCGTGCTGACAGATTCTTTCAAGTTTAACTCTATCTATCAACACCTAGAGATTACTGTAGATAACTAATTCTACTTCTGACGAGCTTTAATGATCTTGAACGATTTAGGAATTTTTTAGTTGTTGGAATTAGTGGAAGACCGAAGAATAAACTACAAAATCTGAATGTAAAGCCGTTCACGAGTATATAGATGATATGAATTGAGATCTCCGTCCTAATTTCTGGGATTTTTAAGCTATGAAGACGCACAATGCCATGCAGTTTGCATTGAGAGAAATTTTACCAGGATATCGGCATTTTCTCAATGATGTATCTGACAAAGGAACCATATCTAGTTCCTTTCTAGTTTTCTCTTATCCCCTTAGCCCTTATTACATATTTTAGGGTAGAGATCACATTAAATAGCGGATCTTAATTTTATAGTATACCATATTAGCGAGGTATACCTGTTAATTTGTCTGTGTTAGTGATACTGGTTTTAATTCTATTATTTCGAATTATGGAATTCTACCACCTCCAGCAAGCAGTGAAGATTATTTAAACAAACCACCCCGTATTCAATATTCTATTTAATCATTATCGTGTCAATGAAGTTTTCCCTCCAGGCCCAATTCCATCCTCATCTCGGTTCTTCCTTCTCGAGTAGAATGTATATATATATATATTATTACTAGTCGAGGCATGATATGTTAGGTGAACGTGTTGAGAATTATTCCGTTTTACTTTTTTTAATGGACGCCGGAAATCTGTACAAGAAAGACAATTTCGTTCAAAGCATGGCAAAATAAGGAATAAAAGATGTATATTAGCGGACTCCTCCAAAAAGAAGTACTATCAGGTGTTTTAAAAGAGTAAGCATGGTCTGGTAATGACCTATAATAAGATAATCTATCAGTGGAACTAGAGTAAGACGATAAGTATTCTGGATCTATAAAGATCTATTAGAACGGATGTAAAGTTCAGTGGGTCGACTCGAGATCTAATCTACATTGAAACACGTTAGTCTAACGTTAGGATTATTTTCTACTAAAAGGTTTGTTATATATTCTTACGTTTTTGAAGTATTTCTTCCTCATTTCTCGATTTATCGATTATACAAAATCTTATCAAGGAAAGTTATTCCGCAGTCAGAAGAATTCTTAAGAGAAGCTGGGTTATGACGTGAGACCTTTTCTCCTTTCCTATAAATTATCAGTATATCAATATCTACATTCATTTTCAGAAGATCAGTTAGTCGTCATCTGAATTTCTCGAGACTAACAGAATCTAAAATAGTAAAAAAGTTCGACTTAAAACTAGTCTCTGAGAACTGTCGATTGTTGTTAATTGGTTCAGGTTTTCGGTTCACTAGGATCTATCCAGTTCTATTATCATCAAGTCTATGTCTTTTTCACGACACGAAGAAATGTTCAATCACACAATATCTTGTTGGAATTAATATTAACAGTTTTTGTGCGAGCTATTTTAAGTTTAGTCTAAGATATTCTGTATGTAAGTTTTTAAAAACAATTTTAATATTTCACATTCGGGAAGATGTAAGACTCCATTCATTTTTATATTTGTTCAATTATGTAGTATCTCTTTGTGTTGTTTTAAACAGTAAAAGTTAAAATTGATGTGAAAAACACATTATAACTAAAAATCAGAATTTATAGCTGCTTCACTCGTAATATATCTAGACAGATAAACAGATAGGCTTTCTATTTTAAGGGTATGTTAAAATTAGTTTTGATATTTGTTGAAATGATGTGATATCTTACATGTGAATTATTCACTGTGGTTTAATATCATTTTGGCTTTAATAACACTGAACAAGATAATTTATATGTTATATTCAGTTATCTTTTGTGTAAAGGGGCCCTCACGTCACCAGCTAATAATGAGTACCGAACACAACTAACAACGAGAGTTGCATTCGGTGCCCTTATTTCGCAACCATACACAACTGGTAATAATTATAGTGTGAGGGCATCTTAATATACATTTAACAAGACTGGAGTATTATATGTAATTAAGCATTCCATGTTATCAATTGAGTATGCAAATATGCCATAGAAGATTATATACATGATATATAAGTAATTGGTAATGTAAATAGTACCATGACTATGTAGTATTATTGTTATGATGATGAGTTACAGGTGTTTCTCAAGTAGAATTGTTACGCTTCTTTCTTATTTATCTTATAAATACTCTTAGTTCAAGTAGCTCTTATGTTGCACTATGAAAATTACCTACTACTTTTGAAAACGTTAACGAATATTCTCCAAGGCAGGCTCGTAGCCAGACTGTTCGGGGGAAAGTTATGTATCTCCAGGGGCAATGGTGTATAGTATTTGATTGTAGTAATGGAATTGGTCTGTTCTCAGATTTTGTGTCACCCCTTTGGTTTATAAAGTAGATGATTTGATAGAAATTGAAGAGTTATCTATCTATTTGGTGATTGTAAGAAGTGTACAATATAACGGAAAGCGTTCGAGTGTTTTTATTTTGACGAAATTTTGAGTTTCAGACTGAGTAAAGGTTAAGGTTTTTATGTGTTCTTCATTAGAGACTAATGATTTAACGAAGGGAAATTACTTTGTTTATACTAAATCATTATTAACAAGCCTTATAGTACCATACACGGGTGTAATTTGTAAATTGTTAGTACATTACTGAATTGTTAGCACTAACAAGTACCACGATCTATTGTAATTACTAACAAACATGGTTAAAAGATATTTTGCAGTTGATGATATCATAATGTATGTAAATATACATTACTTGTACTTTCAAGTACCTGAGTCACTTGTACGTGTTGTTTGTACAGGCAGTACAATAATTTAATACAATTCTTCGGATAGGCCACTAATTTCCGAAACGATCTTAGCGCTAGGTTGTCCTATGGCCTTAACTTTTTACACTGTTTCTGGGATATCCAAAGGCCTTAATTTTTTACACTGTTTCTAGGATATCCTGGCGTTAAGATTGTTTCGAGAATACGTGGCAGGTCTAAAATCTGATAACCTTTAGACAGTAATCAAAGTGTCGCTCACCATCCAAATCATCTGATAGGCTTTGTTAACTCAACTTCTGTTTTAGAGAATCTACCTAGCTGACAGTGTAAATTTGGTTTGTTTATTTTCATCCTTTAAATCGTAACAAAGATTATCAGATTCTTTAATTAGAATTAATTGGACTAAACTAAGAAACGTGGTTGTTACACCTTCAACTATATCATCTTTCTAATGAGAGATTAATTAGTACAAATTACTAATTAGATGCCATTTTGTCCTAAATTACGCCGTAAAACTTACATCAATAACCATTATCGTCAATGGCTAAACTAGAAACATTTCGAGTTTCGTTTTGCGGTTGGGATCGTAAGTGTTTTTCTGTTACCAGCACATTGTTTTCAGAAGAATTGGACATAGCCCTTATATGACCTAGATTCTATTAATGCGATGCCAAATTATCTCAGATTAGTTAATTTTTTAAGTTGTAAATATGATATGTAACTTTAGTGTAAAAAATTATAAAAACTAGAAGTACAGCTGTAATAATATAATCTATAATCAACTATAGCATCTGTTAGTGTTTACATTCTGACGATTGTAACTTCTGTTCCTTTACTATTTGTATTTCTCTGTTCTGAACGTACAGTATGTTGACGAAACTTATGTTTAGAATACCTGAATATCTCTACGATTGTAAAAAAACAGACCAGACACGTTTTCACAAAGTATTATGATGCCTTTCGATTTTTTATACGGATGCATCTAGGTTAACCCTTGTCGCAGTTAATGCCCTTATGTTTGGTCTCTTTTATATCTTCCATAAAACAGACAAAGATAAGACTGAAAATGATGACGTGATAACCTACATTACCAGGCCTCTTATTATGACGTGATATATAAGACCTACATAATAAGACTGGTAATAATGACGTGATGATCTATATATAAGAATGGTAATAATGACGTGATAACCTACATTACCAGACTTCTTATAATGACGTGATATATAAGACCTATATGGTAATAATGACGTGATGACCTATATATAAAATGGTAATAATGACGTGATAACCTATATATAAGAATGGTAATAATGACGTGATGATCTATATATAAAATGGTAATAATGACGTGATAACCTATATATAAGAATGGTAATAATGACGTGATAACCTACATTACCAGGCTTCTTATTATGACGTGATATATAAGACCTACATAATAAGACTGGTAATAATGACGTGATGATCTATATATAAGAATGGTAATAATGACGTGATAACCTACATTACCAGACTTCTTATAATGACGTGATATATAAGACCTATATGGTAATAATGACGTGATGACCTATATATAAGACTGGTAATAATGACGTGTTGACCTATATATAAGAATGGTAAAATGATGCTATACCTGGTTGATTGAATTATTGTCATTAGCAAGAGGAAGACATCAAACGGCTGTGTAAGTTAATAGAAGATCATGGTAAAGTAAGGTAATGATATCACTGACGAGAAACATCATTATGTCAATATCCAAAATGGTGGTTTGTAAGTAATATAATCAGGCTGACAGATAATGAAGTTAACTATTATCAATATGTCTAGAGACATATTAAGGAGATAAAAGCCATCATTGGACGGACTCAAAACATCGCTGAATGTAGAATTAACACTTTGAGGGAGATTTTAAACATGGCACATAATCGCCCCAGCAGACGACACTCCATCATATGACACCTGAAACAGTAATAAAAGTATTTTCTTTATTTCAAACAGATTTAGGGTTTAGGACATTCGGCATAACAATCAATTAATGGCTTATCCTGTCGTTTAAACAGCTGTCAAAAATTAAAAGATGTCGCCTTATGTGCCTGAACGACAGTGGAAACACGTCGAAACGTTGTAATAAACTTTAACCAGTTGTTAAATAAAGCTGTGTCTTCAATAAGTGGCCCTCTCACCATACATCAGCTACATATATTTGGGAATAAGAAGAGCGCTCGAAACTTTCAAACACACCTCTTATGCAACTTGAGTTATGGGTAGCGTTCGGAAATCAGGGCCACTTTCATTATTCACAAATATACGTAACTAGTAATCACTATGGTTTGATGGTTCTTCAAATGAAATATTGATGATTTACTCTAGAAACAGTGACAAGATTTAATTCTAATAACTTGTTCTCGTCGTCGTTTAACTCACGATCAATGACAAGTTTGAACATTAAAGAAATAAAGGCCGCTGTAATGAATATATGTTATGGTTAATATGATATTCACCTTCTTGGGCGAATTTGGGCGTTAAACCCCAAGAAATACAGTGATGGCGGAGTGAATCTAACACTGTTTATCTTGGTTTCTTAGCATCCAAATGACGAGAAGCTGTCCATTGTGGCGTTTCTACGTTTTTTTTATCATTTTACACAGTGGAAGAATGAACTGTGGCCGCCCTCACCTGATGTTTCCTAAAACCTCCACTGGCATGGGAACAGCCAGTCGTGCCGAGCCTCGAACATAACAACTGACGAGCAGCGATTCGTTCACTGAGGCATTGGACCTACCCCTACCAAACTCTGAACTAAGGTTGGTCCTCCCTCGCCACTCTCAAGTTTCTTATCATTCTTCACAGAAAAGGAATTATTGCTTGTGAATCTTACTGGAGAATTATATGACCTCTGTTCTCTCTGAATATTACTTCATAGAAACATCACGATCTCTTCACTAGAAAGTAAACTAATATTTTTATTATCTCAGCCTAATCACGGTGATAGTAAATTACTAGTAAACACGGTCAATATGGTTTTACTGTTGGTGACACATTACAAGTAGAGTTTAACAGTAGAAGATGGACTTATATTGAATTAGGGACAAATTGCTTCCCGACTCTTGTCCCGGCTGATCGATTACCTGTTAAATACCGGAAACTATACTATTATTATACTTGTTGGTGATGAATACGTTTGGAAACATGTAGATACTATTGTTAATATAAAGTATATATTAAATACTCTGTTGCTATTATCGTTGTTTGTTTTTGAAGCTGTTTTAAAACGCTGAATTCGTCTGGACTAAAAGTGGATACAAAGAAAGAAAGAAACAGCTATATTTTTATAGGGATAACAACTTAGATTCACAAAGGATCTTTTCTATCATCTGGTTCTTGGCCAAACCTCTTGACATTGATCTTTCCCGGATTATCCGTTCCCATTTACAGCTGGGTCGACTGGAATTATGAGTGAAGATGACTTATTAAAGGCTGATCGAGATTAGAGATTAATCTCAATAGAATTGTGTTTATCAAAATGTATCCACTGTGTAAAAGTTAAATGTCATGTCTAACGGCAGTGTCTATCAATATTGAAACGTGACTCTGGGCCTAGAATACATTATACGTTCAAGTGGTATTTCTCTGTTTACTGAAATATCTGTACAATTATTACACTCTTATGAATTCTATTATTAGTTTAGGAGGCCTTAGATCTTTTAAATAACCGTATTGAAATCGCTTCAGTGAGATTTAGACATATTAAAACAGAACCTGAAACATGTTGTTACTCGGAGTTTCACGCTGTGGGTTCTCGAAATTATAGAAATATTAAAACAAAACAGAGAACTTTCTGAGTAACAACATGTTTCAGGTTCTGTTTTAATATTTCTATATGTAAACCAAGTGTTATAAGAGGTATATAGAATAAAGCTGCGAACCAATAATGATAGATAAATTACGACAACTAATATAGCTGTCTGATACAATATCCTTCACTTTTTATTTACCCCCAAACTATTTCAGTAGAACAGTCAAGTTATTATAAAAATAAATCAAAACTGTTGCCAAACAACCCTCTTACAAGACGTTACTTTCGCCTCAAGGTGTAATACTACACTAATAGTCGAGTGAAATTATTTTTAAGTATTTTCTGATAACAAACGGAACTCGTTGCCAATAATTCTGTAGATTATCAGGAATCGTGTTCATCTGTGTTTCCAGATCTGGTTGCGGTGCCTAATTTGTCAAGTACGTCTTTTGGATCTGCTCTGAGTTTGATAAGAGTTCGTGGTTTGTTTTGATGTGAATTGTGCCCAGTCTGTGTATCTGTGTTTTCTGTTGGACAACTGTAACTTTGATTTTAGAATATATCGAAGTGAGTTACCGAAACTACAATTTTGTCCAATCCGGCCTGTTGGCACAGTAGCTTAAATTGTTTGAAAAGCCTTACTCACTGACAATTTATCTTTTTCAGAGTGTTTACCTGATTTACCATGTTTCTCGAGGATGCGATTTGGTAGTTATGTTCTGAACGAACCATCAACAAATCAACCAGAGCCAGAAACTAACGGTAAAGTTACCACCAACGACAACAACCACACGACCTCACCAAAACACAATAAAAAGAAGATGACGAACGAAAACGTTGTTCTCAATGCCGATGCTGCAGCCAATCGAAAGCGGCGAAGCATTTACAGGTCAGTCCAAATTTTTGTCTTCTCTTCGAATTTTCAAAGGATATAGGTCTAGAAACCTCTCATTATAGTCCGACACATCTGATCTTACTCGTTCCTAGGACATAATATTCGGACGGGATATCGTCAGGGTTAGGGCCAGACATCAAATGTAATATATTCGAAGGGGCAGTGGGGCGTGGTGTCAAGTTGGAGTGATGATATTGGTCGGCCGTCAGACGGGAGGGGTGGCGCAATCCATATTATCCGCCTCTCCCCTTCTGCTGAGCCTAGTAAGGTAGGGTAAGGCCTGTGTCTAGATTATTTAAGTTGATTAACGTTTCACGGTTAGATGTCAGTTAATGCCGACTGGTCATATTGTTAAAGAGTTCCACCCTGGCTCCTGTAAGTTTAGAAGATATTAAAATAAGGTAGAAATGGCTCCGTTAAGACGAGCGGATATGGTATTTAATGTAAAGATTAGAGCCTGTTAGATGTGAAGATAAAGTATTAAAAGATGAAATATGGTTATAATTTAGAGGTTAATATCAGATAAACTTCTCTTATATTTCCTTTAATATTTAACACGTTTCTTACATTTTATACCATTCCTTCTTTGACCATTTGGATACAATCTGAAACACGAGTCACAATTTTCACATTTGGTCTCGAAACACTTAGAGTTAAAAGGATAGATCATAGGGTTAGTATTGGATTGGTTCAATCGGATGATTCTGTGCTGTTGGTTTGTTAGTTGATAACCCATGGTTGTTTTGTCCTGGGCGACTGAAACCAAGAAATAGTTGAGATAGTTTCTGAGCGGTACAGGAAATACGATAAATTATAAACAGAAGCAATCTTCTATCTTCGAATATATCTTTAAGGGTTAGTTCGAGTCTCTGACTATCCGAGTCTATCCATGGTCCATGAAGACGTAATTGTATCAAGATATTCTCAGGCCCTGTGAGCGACAGACGGTAGCGTTTCTAGGAAACATTTGGTGAGGAGTCGAGCAGCGGCCACAGGAATTTCTTTCATTATGTAAAATGATAAAAATGTTAGATTTAGACATCTCGGACTAAGAATCTAGTCGACCTATGTTTATGAGAATGTTAAAAATTACGGTATCTCGAACTAACCTACTGACCGGACTATGTTTATGAGAATGTTAAAAGTAAGGTATCTCGGACTAAGCTACTTACCGGACTATATTTATGAGAATGTTAAAAGTAAGGTATCTCGGACTAACCTACTTACCGGACTATATTTATGAGAATGTTAAAGAGATAGTAGTAGAGGAAGTAGGTTTATATCTTTCTGGATACCTGTATAACAGACATTACTGAGATTCTATACTAATAGTCATTCTATAGTACTATATTACCTCTAGTTGAATTCCACAGTTTTATCACGGTGTTTTGTCGGTGGTTGCATTCTGAGATTGGTTCCAAGTTTGGATTAATGATAATATTGACAATTCCTTGTGTCTCAAAATAAAAGTGACGCTTGTTGCTGTTGTGTGTTTTTGGATTATGAAATAGGATCCATTATATGGACTGATTTGTATATCAATTTGGACTTTACACGACAGACAGCTTCTCGAATTAAGAATAAGGAACCTTTACAATGCAGAATCTTGAATATTTATAAATAGACGCCTGTTGGTGTGAATTTGATTTGTATAAATGTTGATTTATGATTGGCTAATAAGAGATATATTGAGATTTGATTGGACTATATTTTTAAAGTGAAAATGATTTTTGGAAGTTTTAAAAGGTATTTTCTTTTTTCCTTTCTTCTTTTGACATGCTGATACTTCTTAACCACCTACAGTTCTTCTTCTTCTTCTTCGTGGTGGATGGTGTTCGCTTCGGAAAAATTCCATATCGCAGACGTTGAATAGGGATCGGGTTGCTCCCATGGTTTCTTCTGGTTCTTCTTCTTGATACTGCGTTCTTCTTCTGTGATTCTTCTTGGCGATCTATCGAGAACTAAGTCCCCAATGATCGCCACACCTACAGTTCAAATTCGGGAAGTTTTAATACCATGTATAAGCTATCGCCAGCGAATACAACCAATCAGAGCCCTCGTCAGAAAGGCTGTAAACATTATGACTTTGTATTTGCAAACTTTCTGATTGATTGTATGCGCAAGCGTACAATCCAATCAAATCATTTTATTTACAATTCCATGATACAAGAAAGGTTACTGTACGATGTTCGTAATAGCTTGACATTGTGAAGATGATATTGAACCTATTCCAGTATTCCAGTTTCCGACTTTTATCCTTAAAATTGTATTATTTTTTTCAGATCTGCTCTAACTAAACTACTATGTGGAATGTATTGTCTACTACTGGTGGTATTTGGTATAGTGTTTGCTATTGCCAATGCTTTAACTGTGAAGGAACGAGAACATAAATTTTACTTGGAGGTAAGCAGATCACAATACACCATTCGCTTATTCAGGGATTTTCAACCTAGTTCTTTCCATTAACCCTTTCAAGAGCATTACTCCCTTCCGTATATAATTACTTTACTTTTCTTGACTTTAGTCATAAATTGGTATAGATTATTGGCCTTAAAAATATCAAAAGAAAGTTGCAGTAAATCTGAATCAGATTGGACCACCATTAGCTCCTGGACGAAATAAGATTCAGGTGATCTATTTTACGGTCTCATTCCCTCGTTCAATTGACTTCATAGTTTAATGTTTTACACATCAGGTTTTATCCTCGTAGTTAAATTTGTAACTGAGTTGAGGTGAAATCTGATATCTCACATGTTCTCATCTTTAAACCATTGCAGTTTTTATACTAGTTAAATACCTACAGCCGTTTTACACTAGTTAAATACCTACAGCCGTTTTACACTAGTTAAATACCTACAGCCGTTTTATACTAGTTAAATACCTACAGCCGTTTTACACTAGTTAAATACCTACAGCCGTTTTATACTAGTTAAATACCTACAGCGGTTTTACACTAGTTAAATACCTACAGCCGTTTTATTTTACACTAGTTAAATACCTACAGCCGTTTTACACTAGTTAAATACCTACAGCCGTTTTACACTAGTTAAATACCTACAGCAGCTGGGACATTCTGAAGATGTTTTAATCTCGGTCTGATTTGTTCGGTGTGGCCTTGAGTCACATTTCCCTTGCGTTTATCCTCCAATCTTTGTAAAAATGAATATACCCCTGATCTAAAACATCGTCTGTTACCCAGGCCAGTGCTTTCATTGAGATTCGTCTCAATACATACTAATACTAACTTCCGTTTGTCCATTCTGAAAGAATATTTGGATTTGATTAGATTTGTCAACATGACATCCGTTGTTGTCCCATCATTTTTCGGTCGTAATAAATGCTTACACCATTGAACCAATCCATTACACAATATATACAATCAACATTCCAAACAACAATGCATCAAATCTGAGTCCAATAATATGTCTTTATTCACCATCGATATATATTTTTCAGGTTTTTCTGATCTATCTGTATTCAGGATCGCTGATCATTTTACTGTATTTTCAAATCGGTATATTGAGAGGTGTTTCCAATCGGACCAATTACATGGATAATAATATTAAAGTCATCATGAGGAGATCCACGGAGCAGATTCAGACCTCACCAGCACCAATCCGGAAAAACGATTCTATGGTGGAAGAAGGCGGAGAAGGGCTGGATGATGCTGAGATGAAAAAGGAACCCATTGATCATTTCGCAGCCGTCAGTAACGCCTCTATCAGTAGTCACCTTGTCCTACCAGCTCCTGGTGAAGTAGCTCATGTTGGTGAAGGCATCAACTTCTATCTCCGTTTGGGAGCCTTAGGTAAGTATTAAAATTCTGTACAAGCAAGACAATTCCGTTAACCAAAATCTCGTCTAAAGAATGTCCAAATCGAGAGTAAAAGTTACATAGTAGTAAACTCCTCTATAGAGAAGTACCATCAGGTGTTTCAAATTCTACTGGTTATCTATGGACAATGTAAATGCAACCAATAATAGTGTGAAAATTTAAGGCTGATACATCTCTGAAGTCGAAATTCTGTTTAATTGGACCCTATAATCCCAGAAACCTCATGGCCATAATTTACTCGTCGATTTGCAGTCCCAGATACTTACACTTAAAGATAGGTTATACATGTATTCAAATGTCCAAAGAATGCATTTCTAAAAGCATATTCTCTGTTTTCTCTATACAAAAACAAAAACCACATGTATTATCATATTCTATATTGGCTGTTCATTCCCTGATCTTGCCTAGTTGTTCTTATTGGATTTTATTTTGATTTTTCAGCGTTCAGTATTGGTAGTGTAACACTAGACGGGTTCCATATCGCTTCGTATTTTGAGACGGATACAACTAGTACCTGTGAATCAGCTATCTTTACCTTGGTCTACGTTTTACATCTTATTTTTACCTTCGTCCAGACTTTCTTCTTGTTCAAGAATCACAAGGTTAGGTCACGAACTTCGTCTCATACCTTGACTGCAAGTCACCTCTCTTACATCTTCACAATGTCAAGCTATTAAGAACTTCATCTTCACAATGTCAAGCTATTACGAACTTCGTCTTCGCAATGTCAAGCTATTACAAATTTCATCTTCGCAAAGTCAAGCTTTTACAAATTTCATCTCCACAATGTCAAGCTATTGCCAACTTCGTCTCATACCTTGACTTCAATATCTCTCTTTCTTGTATCGCTAAATGCAGCGATTAGATTGGATAGTAGGCCAGTGAATACAGCCAATCATAGCCCCCGGAATATAGACTGTAAACATGTAACTATTATTTACAGACTTTCTTTTGAGGGCTCTGATTGGCTTCATTTATAAACGTTATCCATACAAGAAAGGTGACATTGTGAAGATGGTATGAGATATGAGGTACAATGAAGTGATTGTAACTAATTTAGATAAATATTTACAAAACATTTGAATATTAAGTTTTTACCTGAAGATATAAATATTCTAAATAGATTATTATACAATATAGTTTAATATGAAAGGGCCATTTCATTATCTGATTATTTTAGCTAAGAATCTTGAATCATGGTTCCTGAAAGTTAACATTATTGATATATCGTCAAGTTAGAATGTGTTGACAGACAAATAAGTTTATTTTCAAATTTTAATGGATGTTTTATAGTTGGTGATTGACAAACACAAGGCCGCTGTACGATTTGGTTTGATGCATCTCTTAGCAACCAATATTTGTGTCTGGTTAGTGACGGCTGTCATGGAAACAGCAGAAGACTTTCATCAGCTCCATTATCAAGCCAATATGGCGCTTATTAAAAACAGTAAGTTTTGAAAGATGTTTTACAGTTTTATTTTTATAAGGCTCTTAATCTGTCATTAAAGTTTTTATACCGGAATTTTATGATGGCAGAAGTCTACTTTCCCGCCAGTTTGTTCTAAATGTTTGGCAGAACTGTCCATAAATCACCGCCATAAATAGTCGACGAGATAGTAGCCTGGTCGAGACTGGTATATTGTGTGGGTTTGATACCTGAGTATAACCATTTAAATATAAACAGGCAAGCACATATTGGAAATAGAAACGTTTGGTCGCTTCCATGTTTAAATAAAAGTAACCATCTTGTTGTCTCCTTTTCAGCCTCCGCATTGAAGAGTTGTTATGAAGACATGACGTTAGCTAGAACAGCCAGTCCCTATTTGTTCCCTTGTACCATCATCTACAGCATCATAGCTGCAGGGGTCATCTACCGCATGTACCGTTACGTCGGCGTCAGGGTCAAACAACGATGGCCAAGCCACACCTCTCTCACCAGCTCTGTTCCTCAGGGTGCAGCAAGTATGGATTGTGAGAAAGCTAACAAGGGTCTTTTCTCTGGTTTGTTGGTAGCTGTTGTCACTATGATCGCCATTGCTACGTTCTTCGTCTTCGAGAGCAGATTGTCCGATCCCACGACTGCTGTTCAGGTTTTCTACGTCATGGAGCTCACGCTGTTGGTCCTAATTGGGTCCTGCATCGTCTTCGGCCACCTGAAACTGACCCAGCTAAAGTTTCAGGAGAATTATCTGATTTCTCTCGATTCCGTACTCCTGGTCGTGGCTTTAGGAGGTTCCTACATCTATCTTTGCTTTATGCTCATCTCGGCGGCATCCATGATTCAGTTGGAAGGCATTGCCAGTATCTTATGCTTAGTTTGTATTGTCGTGGCTCTGTTACAGAGTACTCTACAGGCAGTGTTTATTTTAGATGGACTCTGTCGATGCTCTGCTAACGATAATCAGGTCGAACGAAAACCCGGACGCGCCATGGTCACGTTCTTGCTCGTCTGTAACATGGCGTTATGGGTGGTCAGTATGTTCGAGATTAAAAAGACAATGGTAGTCCCGTTCCACCAGAATTTTTACGGAATTTTGTCTTGGAACATCATGCTCCATGTCTGTGTTCCCCTTTTCATCTTCTATCGCTTCCATTCGGCTATTTGTCTGTCCAAAATATGGTACCAAGCCTATCAGAAACAGAAATACTCTTAAACTCTTTAATATCTGGAACCAACAGAAAAGTTCGCAAGTGCTTTAAATTACAAACATCTAAAATATTTTTGGTATAATCGGAAATTGAGGACCAAATAAATCATAAAATCAACTCATTAAAATATACTCCGTCCATTTCTTACGATACAGAATCCCTGGCTCTTTCTTTTGGCTCCCTTGGGACACCATTGAACGTAATCCTTATAAAACTCTACCATGTCATGAGTCCCCACGATTCTGTAACATATAAATAAAACAATTCGTCAGAACATATTAAGCATTGCGTTCTATGACAGTATGCTCTCCTGAGTTTCAGAGGTTTCAGCAGCTGCCAGAGACCACCCCATATTCATATCCGTGTAGTGAAAGATTTCTTCTTTTGAGAAAGTGTCATGGATTCTGTATCTCCAGGAATCTGAATTATCGTACCGGTACCGCTCAGTGTGTTATTGTGCTCATATCAACTAGTCAGTGCTCATTAAGCCTTATTTTACTCGCAAAATGTGCCAAAGTTGAGTTTTCAACAATTGTATAATATTTTGAAGTATGTATTTTTGTACATTATTTCTACTATGATCATAGTGTGTAGCTTGTAGGGTAACATTTCGACATCGTGGTGTTTATCAAAATATCTTTAATTTACTTCATTATTGATTTTAAATTTTTTTACCTCATTTTGAAAGAAACTAAAAATGGCATCGTATCGACTGACAGGGAAATATCAAATTAACGTTTTTTTTTATAAAGGTAGCTATGCTTTGCTTCTATCATAGACCATAAAATCTTTGGAAATGTTTTGGAAATCCTAGCTTAATTTCTTTTTTGTCTAGAAACCTATGAGCTAAAGCTACGGTCAAAAGTTAAAAAAATAATCTTATCTAAAACAGTGCTTGGTAAAATTCCGTTAGCAAAACTAAGTCAAAACAGAAAACAGTGTCGTTATTTTTTTGCATTTGCTCATTGTTTCTGAATCACTTTTTGTGTAGTCATTGTATTTAATGTTTGTAGATTGAAATGGTGAATTATACCAATGCCTTTGTACTATTATCATTATTTTACTAGTGCCTGTGTATTTTCATATTTTATTTATTATGATAACTACCATTGAAATAAATTCATTGAAACAACATTGTTTATACTGCAGTAATTCTGTTATTATGCCTTTCAATAGCCCATGTTGCTTACTCTTCTAGACACCTGATACCACTTTTCATTATGAAATACTTACTCACATATAATTGATATACTTCCTCATATGAAAGTTCATTAGCTGCTACCAATGTTTCACCAAAATGATCGGTAGTAGCTTACTTGGTTTATTTATAATCGTTACATGATTCGCTGTTCTTGGCTTTCAATAGTTCCCCTCTAACTGTATTTTTCAAGCAATTAAAGGGAGATTACACTCTTTTAAAAATTCAATATCGGTCTGAAGTCTCTGTTGAAATGTTTAATATCGGTCTGAAGTCTCTGTTGAAAAAGTTTAATATCGGTCTGAAGTCTCTGTTGAAAAAGTTTAATATCGGTCTGAAGTCTTTCGAAAATTTTTATTATTGGTCTGAAGTTTTAATAGAAATATGGAGTTGTCTCCCGTCGCCACAATTGATAATGAATCTAAACCTGAAAAGAACCTGTTGCGATCCTGTTGCGTGTGATCCTGTTTGCGTTTGAATTGATCGCAGACATTCGTAGAAAATAAAGGACGTTCAAAATTTCCTAACTTACTGCGTGTGTCTACGATCAGATACGTACTTATTACTTACAAATTATAAAGCCTGGTTGCATGTGAGTTGCGATCAGAAATTATGACCAATATTTTTTAAACGTAACCACACGCAACTGGTGATCGCTATAATTTTAACGCACCAGCAGGTTACAAATTGATAAAACTTTTGATTTTGTATACGTTTATTGCGTATACAAATATAGTTTACGATGACCTCACACAAGTGATTACCAGTTGTGTATGTTTGTGAATAATGAAAGTGGTCATGAGTTAACTCAGTTACATGACAGGTGCGTTTGAAACTTTCGACCACTATTTTTATTCTCAACTATACCTACGTAAAATGGAATCACTATGGTGTAAGGATACCTTTACATACAACTTTATACAACAAGTATACGTCTAAGCTAAGGTGTGATATCCCCTTTAATTCATATTATATAATAATGGTGATACGTTTCAAGTTATTTTTATTTGTTCATTTCCTACAATTATTTTTATCTAAATATTTAATGTATTTTCTGTTCAGATTCAAGCCAATTAACTTGGTAATATATCAGAGGAGTTGACATTTTAAATATCAAGACAGTCTCTTTAATATTTCAACTCTGACCGCATTTTTCAATTTTGTCGAATGCGAAGCGCGCGGTGAAAAAAATGATTAACCTTTTTCGGTTCAAGTGCGCGTTTTAATTTCATTGTTAATACTCGCATATTTCGGACAAAGAAAATTCGTGAGAAGCCAACGTGCGATTTGATGCGAATATTTGATATTTATTTCGTGTAAAAGTTGTGTTTTATTATTATATTATATCTCAGCGCTGTGTGTATTTCTGTGTGTATATTTAACACTCTTACGTCGGTATTTCGGTAAAATAACGTGGTGTATATATCTACACCCGGGCCAATATCAACTGATATACCATAGTTTTAATACTTACATTCCAATCTTAAATATCTCACAGTTGATTGGTCACAATTCATCACGTGATATGTTAATAGCAAAACAAAATGGTGGATATAACGAAATGTAGCAGCTAACGGCTTTATGAGGGAATAACGGTACCTTTGTGTATGAAATATGCCGAGAGGGAGTAACGGGGATCTGCCCCTGCCCCCAGGATGGGAAGAACTGATTGATCAGGATGGTAAAACGTTTTATATTGATCACAATACTCGGTTAACGACTTGGGTCGACCCTCGAGATAGGTGAGTATACGAAAAAATGTCAAAACCATGTATCACAAAGTGTTCGGATTATTCATAACACTGTGTTTTATGTGTTTATTTCTGATAAATTGTGTTAAAGTGTGTGTTATTTTGAAGGAAATGTGTGTGATTTTTATTTTAATACGTGGTTTAAGGATATATTAGGAGAGATCGTGGACGGAGGTCAGTCTGACAAACACGTGAAGACCTGAGCACAAATAGTCAAATATGTTTAAATATAGACCAGCGCACATTCCACAGTGTTAATTAATACCAGTGTGTCCTTTAGATTATCTTGATTAATCATTTAACACATTGAAACACTTGGCTACAGTACAGTGTATTGCCCTGCACATGGTTGCAGATCTTACTGCATGAGACTATAATATCAATAGACTACCTTAGTATACATTGCTAATAGTATAATCTTTAAAAACCATAAATATAAGAATATCAAGATTAAAGTTATATAATAAAAAACTGATTAGTTATTTGAGACAATAGAGTTTAAAAGTACATAAAATTAGGCTAACAAATTACTGAATAAGCTTTTCTATTGCCTACTATTAGTTTACTAGTTGGGCTGTATTATCAATATAATTGCATCATAAGGAAATGTTGCTTACAATTGAAAGTTTTCATATGATTCATATTTGTACCTTTAGTTTATTTTGGTAAAGCAGAACTCATTAATGAACTTTCCACTAATATATGACACAACTTCATCTTTGCAGAAGAAAGAGTGGACTCCCTATTAATACTATCTCTAATCTGTAATGTATATAGAGAGAAGTGTTGATTATTTACTATGTATAACTATGTATTAAAGTGAATAATTCTATATCTAAGTAATAATAATGACTGTATACTAGCTCTCCAGATTACCTGTACTCACTGACACTGGTTATTGATATAGATTGTCGGTCAGTATATGGTGGATAATGTTGCGACACCTTTTTATTATTGCCCACTGTTGTTGAAACATTATCTCTGTCCAATGGTAACCAATTGTAAGAGGTGTTACAGAAGATACTCTTCTATAGAAGCACTGGCCCAGTTCACAATTATTAGGTATTATAGAAATAGAAACATTGTCTGCTTCCAATATAACAGGTGTCAAAATTTTGGAGTTCGCTGCAGCCAATTTGGCCCAAGGAAACAGGAATTGTTTGAAAAAACTGCCAAAATTGTTCTCAAACAAATAGAATTAATAAATAGTTTTTATATGAAATTTATATTAGTTGGGTTGCCTTGACCCTAAAATAAGATAAGATAAGACTTAAAACTGGACAAATGACCAATTTTTTTTCTAAATCCTTTTTATGAGCAAATTAGCCCCATATAATTTGATCATGGGTTTTAAGTATCCTAAGGGGATTGTACCTTTAACACCATAAAAACTTTTCATTTCCTTTATGTAGTTAAATCTCCTTCTGACCTTAAATGACCTTGAAAATTGACGAAAAAAAGTTTATGAATAGTTTTATTTATATTTTATTATCTTGCCCCTGGTGAAATAAATTTCGGTGGTTGTCCTGTAGGTCATTGTGGAAATAAAAATTTTACTGTCACAAGCAAGCAAGATATACAAAAAATTTCTTGAGTACCTGCTAAGTAGGACACCCTGACAGAGTTACCACTTGTTCCCCAAGTCTAGGGAAACTGGCACGACCCCCACCTCATCATCCGTCTAAAATAGTTTATTATAAGTTTTAAGTTAAAATATTTATCATTAGTTCAAGTTGAAATATTTATTATTAGTAGGGTATAGGGAATGTTGAAGGTACCTGGGTAATTTGTTCTATAACTCCCCCACCCCCTCCACATCATGCCCCTCCCCTCAATCTGAGAAAGTTTGTTATAATATTTATTATTAGTAGGGTATATGGAATGCACCCGACCCCCACCACAAGCCCACAAACCTTCTGCTCCCCTCCCTCAAATCTGAGAAAGTTTGTTATAATATTTATTATTAGTAGGGTATATGGAATGCACCCGATCCCCACCACAAGCCCACAAACCTTCTGCTCCCCTCCCTCAAATCTGAGAAAGTTTGTTATAATATGTATTATTAGTAGGGTATATGGAATGCACCCGACCTCCACCACAAGCCCACAAACCTTCTGCTCCCCTCCCTCAAATCTGAGAAAGTTTGTTATAATATGTATTATTAGTAGGGTATATGGAATGCACCCGACCCCCACCACAAGCCCACAAACCTTCTGCTCCCCTCCCTCAAATCTGAGAAAGTTTGTTATAATATTTATTATTAGTAGGGTATATGGAATGCACCCGACCCCCACCACAAGCCCACAAACCTTCTGCTCCCCTCCCTCCAATCTGAGAAAGTTTGTTATAATATTTATTATTAGTACTGTATGGAATGTTGAAGGTACTGTAGTGTTGATAGTTAGTAGTTCAAATTACAGACTGTACTAGATAGATTAGTACTATAGTTGTTTATTATAAATTCCTGACATTCTTTCTGGTGACCCTTCATTGGCAGCCTGGCGCTGGTACCATTCCAATTATCAGAAATTTACAGACTATGACTATACCTTCTGAATGCATCATTGAATTGATACTTGGCAGGGGGTGAGCCATTGAACCATAACCCCCCCTCAGGTGTGTGAAAAGTCAAGTTTGAAATGAAGATTTAGCCCTTTAAATGTTCATATTTCATCTCTAAACATCAAAATCTGTTGTTTTCTGGGGGGCCTCTGACAGCTCCAGGCCTCCACCTGAAGAACATTTGCATTCAGTGCTTTGACACCCTTCATTTTCTCTGAAATGTACTGTAAACATCTTAATTAGACTCAACCAATTACCAAGCTGTTTTTGACTGATCTGATATTTTGTGTAGAACTAGTTATATTATACATTGTAGATCTAAGTCTAACTGTATATAAATTATAAATTGACTTGGCCTAATGTAAATTAGTTGTAAAATAGTTCAGATACTGATGCCCTAGGCTAGTTTAATATTAACTTTAGTTTCAACTATCTGTCTCTATTGTTTATCCTGAATATAGTCCCCCCTTTTATATGATACTGGCAAGGATTTTTTATGTTAGGCCACTCTTCATTATCTTCACTCCTATCTTTATTAGCCCACATGGTGCAGAAGAATAGGATGTAAAACTCTATTCATTTCATTTCAATATATTCGCTTTGTGGCATCGAAGATTTGTGGATTTAGATTTTCAGTTCTATGCTAAATATGAAGGGTAAAGAATTATTTTTGCTTGTTGCACCAAGAAAAGAAAATGGCTTTGTGGCCCCAAATATGCAAATTTTTTTCTCTCCATTTGTATTCAGTCAATCCAATGTTGCAGTCAGATATATGTGCATGGAGGGGCAAACAAACATCCCTGCTCATAACTGGAAAAAATGAAATGAAATAAATGGAGTTTTACACCCTAGTTCTTTGCATCTAATTGGGCTAATGACATGCAGTGTACAATGAGGGAAATTTGCCAGTGCAGTGGCATAAGCCTATTCTTTGTCGAATTTCAACTGTGGAGAGATCTTTAATGTACCCAGTTTGTAGCACACTGGCTTTCAGGCACTTTCTCCACCGACCTGTATCACTGACTGGGGTTAAAGAAACCAGGTTGAAGAATCAGTTGGGACCGTCTTGATGTTAAGATCTACCCTAGAATCAAGTCAAATGTTCCGAACTATTTTTTTAATGATACAATAAAAGGTAAACAGTGGATGTTGTCCCTGGGATAAATCATTCAAAATTTAAACTATTTATAGTAACACCTCAATACGCTGATCAGTTTCAAGATTAAATATCTAACAATAAGAAACGCTTGACAAACCTGATAGGTCTTAATGTAATAGACAATATACACCAGTTTTTATATCACATCATGTATTATACTAAGATAACTTACTCATTTGTAGGATTTTCTCAAGGGAATTTTCTATAAGCAAGTTATTTTCTGCTCAACCCAGTTTAAATGAAATGAAAAGAAATGAATGTACTTTTCTGCACCATGTGGGCTAATGAAGGCAGGCAACACCATCAGGGGTACAATGAGGGAAATTTTGCCAGGACAGCCACATTAACCTGCTCTTTTTCGATTTTCAACTGTCAAGGGATCTTTAACGTGCACAACCTGTAGCACACGGTGCCTCGGTTTATTTTCCCCCCGTCAAATTGATATAAGCATGCTCTTGTGTTGAAACGGTTAATCAGATGATCGATTTCAGGTATTATTTCACTGGTAACCGGGTCTGATTTGAGATAATCGGTTAACCGTCAATTTTATCAGAAGTAAAAAGAGAGCAATTTTGACAGAAAATTGTCACTGTATAAATCTTGAAGCTGTTTACCCCTGTCAAATTGATGTAAGCATGCTCTGGTTTACCCCCATCAAATTGATGTAAGCATGCTCTGTTTACCCCCGTTAAATTGATGTAAGCATGCTCTGTTTACCCCTGTCAAATTGATGTAAGCATGCTCTGTTTACCCCTGTCAAATTGATGTAAGCATGCTCTGTTTACCCCTGTCAAATTGATGTAAGCATGCTCTGTTTACCCCTGTCAAATTGATGTAAGCATGCTCTGTTTACCCCTGTCAAATTGATGTGAGCATGCCCTGTTTACCCCTGTCAAATTGATGTGAGCATGCCCTGTTTACCCCTGTCAAATTGATGTAAGCATGCTCTGTTTACCCCTGTCAAATTGATGTAAGCATGCTCTGTTTACCCCTTTCAAATTGATGTGAGCATGCTCTGCTTTACCCCCGTCAAATTGATGTGAGCATGTTTACCCGCGTTAAATTGATGATGTTCTCTATGTTTTGGAATGATGTGAATATGTTTAAAACTGTATAACAACGTACCTGTTACTATAGGTGACAGTTGATGACCTTGGTGACAGAGTTAGGGTGAAATATGATAGTTTATTACGTAGGTAGAGGATGTAGGGTGGACATGACACTGATCATACGTCTGCCTGGAATTTACGTCTGTCATTTTATTAATTAGCTTATTTTTACGTCAGTGTTAGATTCCTGATTCCAGTTCATTAAAGTTATAGGGAAGACAGTTGACATCTTGACAGAGATAGTAAAGGGCTTTTCTAAACATAATACATCGTGGACCCTGAAAACATCCATTTACACCATTCCAATTTTCAGTCAGATGTCTGTAGTTATTGCAATTCCACTAAAACTAAATATTTTATGACGTCTCTATTGCAAATTCTATTTAATATTTTAAGGGTATTTTGCTATTGTGAGCTCATGAAATGTCTAGTTTAGTTTTAGAGGAATTACTAAAAACACAACTTAAAAGATAGCCCCAGATTTTACTCTAATTCTCTAAATTATGCTCAGGGTATAGACAGGGTATACTTACTCTTCTAGACAGCTGATACCACTTTTCATTATGAATTACTTACTCACTTATGATTGATATACTTAATCATATTAAAAGTTCATGAGCTACTACCATTGTTTAACCAATATATTGTTTTAGGTTCTGGTTTGATTTTGCAGTTGAAATAGATGGTATTTGGTTTATATATAAAAGCGTTTAAGATTAAAAACACTGATGATTTCTCACTGTATATTTTTCAGTTTAACGAAGCCTCAATCCTTCGCTGACTGTGTTGGAGATGAACTTCCTGTTGGTTGGGAAGAAACATATGATCCTTCTATTGGTGTTTACTATATCAATCATATACAACGTAAGTTTTATTCTTCTTTCTTAATCAAAAACCACATTATAGCAGAAATGTTCATATGTTTGCAGCCTTATTATATTTGTTTATTAGCTTGTGGCGCCAGGCAGGGTATACTTACTCTTCTAGACACCTGATACCACTTTTCATTATGAAATACTTACTCACTTATGACTGATATACTTTCTAATATGAAAAGTTCAATAACTGCTTCCAATGTTTTAGCAGTATGTTGTTTTGTTTTGCTGTTGGTATTGTTAGTACCTGGTTTATTTATTCTTTGCCCAAAAACTACAACTATTGCATCTAACATATTAGAAGAGCCCTCGAAGAATAGATCTCTGTTTATCAATAATCCTGGGTTCAATTTAACAGTTCTCTATACCTTTTGGACAATATATACCAAGGGTTGGGCATTATGGCGTCATTTGCTTGGTAAGTGCTGATTCTAGGGAAAGCTGATTCAAAATAGATAAATGAAGAAAAAATTCAGAAAATTGGCAAAAATGCTGAGAATTTTGAAATGAACTAAGTGAGGATAAAACCAAAAAAGTTAGAAAGAATTTCTATTCAATAGAGAAAAAAAAAAGGAAACGAGGAAAGCAATTTAGATGAAACAGCAAACTAAAATGAGAACTGACATCCTTGCAGTGACAAAAGACAACCACTGTTATTGAAGCATGGACAAAACATTTTTGAAATTTGAATGAGCCATTGATAGCAGCACCTTTTGAATACTGTTTATGAAATTTATCGCATAACTTGAATATAAAGAATCTATTTTTAGCTGTATGAAATAGCTGTGGGGGTCAAGTTAAGAAATAGCGGAGGTTAATTTAAGTATTTAGTGTTTGATATTGTAATGTATTTATAGCTCACTGAATATAATTATAATATAACAATAGATCAAAAAATACCACTGGATAAACAGTATTTAGTCTCTATTGTCAAGACTTTCCAGTACAATATAACCTGGTCTTTACTAACTTGATTTTTAACAAGGGATATCTGTAGTTTTGTACAGTGGCTACTGTAACTCTTTTTAAAAAAAGAATCTTAACTTTTTTTCCTAAATCAAAAATGGTGCTGATTATTGCCATATAAGGTAAAGGACAAAGAATTTAGGACATTCATTGACAAGAGATCAATGCCAGGAGGTTTGACCAAGAACCAGCTGGTGGAAAGGATCCTTGTAAACTTAATAAGATTGTCACAAGGCTTGGCCAAGGACCAGGTGGTAGAAAGAATCCTTAGACATGAAACTAAGTTGTTATACTTGTAAAATATAGTTCTTTCTTTCTTTCGTTCTAACTGTTTGATTAAATGAACATACAATAAGGTCTGGGTGATCCAATTTAAAGTTTATATCATCCAGACAGACAATTAAAGTCTTAACCTAGTTTAAAGTATATTTTATGATCCTATACATATCTCAGATCAATAGAGGTATTTTAATGGTTTGTTTGGTATGAATTAAATATTTTATAACTTGACTGTACTTTTATATCAGATTATCAAAACTCAGCTTGTTTATATTCATTTTTTACCTAGAATCCATACAAACAAAACAGTTCCAGTAATCAAAATCAGGGGCAATAAAAATAAACTGGTAGCATTGAGGTTTCTAGGAAACATCAGTTGAGGGGACCGAGCAGAAGAATCAAATTTTCTACTTTGGCCACAGGTCATTCTTTCAATATGTAAAATGGTAAAAAATTTGAAAGTAGAGGGGAGGGTGGGGGGGGGGGGGAACCCTGGCCCCCCCCACTACTGACTAGTAGTAGTGGACTTCTCAAACAAGAAGTATTATCAGGTGTAGTAATATGTAGAATTCTATGAGGTCTAGTTTGGGTCACATGTGAAAATGAATAGATTAAAAAATGGATAGGACAATCCAACTCACTACATATTGGTTTTAACCTAGCGATGATTAGCTTGACCGTGTCCCTTTAAATTCTAGTCAATACTGTACATAATACTGTAATATTAAAAGTCTTCAGGTTACACAGTATTTATACTGTAACATCTGTCATTAATACCGGGCGTAGTCACTAGCCAATTTATTGAAAATCTTTCATATTACTCTGATAACTTCATATTTCAATAACTGGACCTACTGTACAGGTTGTGGATTAATCATGGATTAAGTTAAGAATTCTGTTAGGATGTACCTGGCCTAATGTTATTTGAAGGATGTATTGAAAATTGAATTATTGTTTAGATTTCAGGTTTCGTTTTGCTGTTCGGATCGTTCTTGGTCTATGTATTCATATTCAAGTTTTTGACATTTTTTATAAGATCTATCTGGCTTGGCAATAGTTCTTGTATATGGAGATGACAATCATAGCAGATAACAATCTAACTCGATATTCCACTGTTTATGTGGTACAATTATTTAAAAAGCTAAATGCTCCATGAATCTTATTTTGAATCCTATTTGTTCAAATCTTAGCAATAAATTTCAATGTATTAAGTCATTGGACTAAGTTTAAACTGCATCTATATATCAGACAAACGAGACAAGATTTTGATGAATGAAATTGTCTTGGTTGTTCAGATTTTTATAGACACACTACAAGAATTTTATATGAAAATATTTCATCATTCTGAAATAGTTATATGACATGTTGAAGGGAGGGTAATTTACGGACTCAACCAGCCATTGAGGCCCATCTCTTCTCAGTCACTCACTCAACCATGCAGGACTCTTATCATTCTCCGCACAGAGCGTGGATAACATCTAGGTCATAATAAATGACAAGGATTATTCTGTCACCACGACAACTCGACACATGAATAATCTTCTAGTCTCTTTATGCGGAAATTCTTCCTAAATTATGCTAATTAATGTAAAAAAGGAGTTGAATTTGAAGGAATTTTTTGTAACTTCATGACAAATGTAGTTAACGTGTGTTGTTTAGACCAAGGATGTGTTTCTTACGCTTCAGTGTCAAAATGGATTAGAGAGTTGAACAATTTGAAAAATTGGATAATGATTTTAATGGATTTGCTTTCTGAAAACAATTTAGTGTGTTTTGTCATTAAAAAATTACGAGATTTTGACAAACTTTATTTTATTTTGGATTGAATTAAAATGTAATTTCCTGAAACATGAATCCAAAATGTCAAATTATATTTTTGTGATGGTGGAAATTCTGTATTTATATTCAGATATTGTGACGTCAGAGATTAATTAATTCATATTTTGAATGTACGATAGTTTTCATTGGGGATCTTTCTGAAAATGCAGTACGTTTTGTTTGATGGATCAAATAAGATTTCTATAGATTAACGTCTGAATTTACTGTCTGATAAGAAAAAATGTGAATATGGATTAAATGTTTAAGATCTTTTGATTTATGGGAGATACAACACCAGGGCTATTATCTCTAATAGACGAATGACAATGTGTTTTTAATCTTATTTGAGATGGCCCAGGACCATCTGACACCACTGGTCACTCTCGACTAATTTCAGCTATTTTACGGCCATGCGAGATGATCCTTAACAAATCCCTCGGATAATTTAAAAAAGATAGCTATGCCTGATAGTATTAAAGGGGCTGACCAGCAACAAAAGTTGTGCGAGGATTCACCAAAAAGGACTGCAAAAAAGGAACACAAACATTCTCCAGATAATTTGAGCCCTAAATTTAATCAAATGACAGTTCACCTACCTCCAACAAAACATACCTCAAAAGAGATCCGATCTTTTAGTTTTGATGAAACGAGTTCACCAACAACCCTAGTTACCTCAATCTCAACGAAACTTGTCACACGTCATAGTTCCTTATCGCCAAAACATAAACATGTTTCAGTGTCTTCATTTGATCAGTTTTACGCCAAGAACCATAACTCTCAAATCATTCATCAAAACTCACCTCCATTTGAACGTAAAGTGCAGACGCGAAGTGTTGTTCAAACTATGTTTCATGGTGAACGTGATCACGGACCACACGATTCCACTATCAAGAAAAACTTTCGGAAATTATTTCCCAATGACTGTGATAATTCTAGTCCTCCATCTTTTGCCGAGGCCCTCGGTGCGGCTGCTCGGAAGAAACTTTGTGACAAGACAGAAAATGGATTACGAACAACATCTGCAATTCAGTTAACGAAACCTGTTCCACTACCTCCCGATATCAACCCAGTATTATCCAATCGTGTCTCAGTATTAGATAAAACAACAGAGAAACCACCAATCATCTTTATTCAGAGGTTTAAACGTCGTCGTGGTGTCAGACGGAACTCTAATTGTAATTTATGTCGTGTTTCAGAAACAAACCAAGTAGAAGATCCCCGGTTACAATGGCGTCAACAACAGGAAGTGATGTTAAAAGAATATTTAGTCACAGCCCAGGATGATTTAGAGGTAAGCTGTTTATTTTTTGACCATATAAGGCTAGAACTGTGTGATTTAATTTACATGAAACAACTAGACATTTAAACCAGATGCAGAACGCAAATTTTTGTCCGTTGAAAACAAAAAACATTGTGTTCAAGTTTTCATTAGCCACAAACGAATGACATTATGTTGTCACGATACTTTTAACTGACAACATGGTTTAAATGCGACATGTCACAGACAAAGGACTGTTGTTTGCACCAGGCTTTAAGCAGTCAATGTCAGCAATAAAATACTTAATTACATTTATAATATAACATCAATAAACCATTAATATTAAAAGGTGTTTGAAGAGTTATCGGTCTTTCTCTGATGTTCTCTGATGTTCTCTGATGTTCTCTGATGTTCTCTGATGTTCTCTGAATCATTTTTCATCATTTAACAAAGTTTAAAAATCTCAAATCTAAGTTTCGTTTCCATAAGAAACTCCAACAAGGCAACTTTTAAAAAGGTTATCCGAATCTATGTTATCCTTTCAGTAAAAGAAATGTTAAATAAAAAAGGTCTATATAATATTTTTTTAACAATTTGAATTTCAGTTTAAGATTACAAGATAAATATACCTATTCATTCTCCATTTAATTCTCCTAAAAAATCTTTTGAGAAAAGACACGAAGTCCTTTAATTTGATATCCAGTTTTGATTTTGATATAATATTTTGTGGGATAACAATATCTCTTTGTTGAACTTGAGATGTGTACATCCAGTCTCTTTTGATTATAGATCTGGTAAGATTACACATTACAAGATGGAAATCTTAATTGAACTGTGCTATTATTATTTTTTATATCAGAAAGACGGGGTTCAATTCAGATTGAAAACTTTGATTATCAATTAGTCCTATCTTATTTAAGTTTTAGCTTATTGATAAAATTTCAGATCTTATTTCATCAAATTTGGTAGCAATTGAAAATCTTCTAGTTTTTGCTCATTAATGTATAAAATCTGTGAGGTGCAGGCTGAAAATAGGTCAGTTGTCTGAAGATGTATAGCATGAAACTCTGAGTAACCACATGATGCAGGTTCTCTTTTAATATTTCTATTTCTGTCATATTATATAAGTCATGATAATCAAGTCTATAATTGTCATTCAACAGTTACAACAGTAATTTATGTCATGAAAAGCAAGTCTACGTTAAAGGTCACATTCAGGTATTTCCATTGTAAATTATAAACTATGATATATAACTCACTAGAGTGTCATATTAAAAATCTGAAATAGTTTGGCGATGTTATAGTTTAAAATAGGTGAAGTGTAACTTACTATAGTTAAAGAAAATAAATGCTCTCCTCTCTTATTAGCTCTCTCGATTCTAGATATTTTACAATAAAAACTAATATTATTTAGAATTTTGATATACTTCTTTAGATATGAAACTTATATTTTTTTTATGACAATTTTTATTTTTATTTAATTGAGACAATTTGGTTTGTACTTTATAAATATTACATATTTACAGTCCCAAATTTATTTTATTTACCTAATATTAGTATATTAAGGTGAAATATTTATATAAGTAATAGATTTAGATATATAGGGTTGTATTACATTTCATTAAACGATATACAAACTGTTACAGAGGTTAAATTATAACTTGAAAAAATACCCCCCAAAAAAAACAGTCAATTTTAAACAAAACAAACTTGGGTTTATATTTATAAAGATATACATAATAAATTCCATTCTTTGTAGGCTTTGGACGTTTCCTAACCTTTGTATGACAAGACACTTACAGCACCATTTATTAGCACCATTCCAATTTCTGTTTTTGATGCCACTATCTCAAAAACCATGTAGCTTTGGTTAGAAAATTTAGTTTTTGTCTTTGAGAAATTTGACTCTTTGACTTCTCCAAATTTAACTTAAATAAAATCCAGATTGTAAGAAATACAACAATCTGATTGGATAATAAACTAGATTTAAAATGAATTTTAGTGATTGACCAATCAGATATCTAGAATGATGAAATAATATAAAGTAAAGTTTTTGAGAATAAGGCCTGTGGTACCATGTCACCTATAGTAGGTTATAAAACAGCGTAATGACCTCACTGAACATCTGAATTGTTTTGTTTTATAGGCGAAGAAAGAAATCTATAATGTTAAAGAACAGAGATTAGTGTTAGCTCAGGATGAATATAGTCATTTATATAATACTTTATCAGGATGGAAATCTAGTCGTACTAGCTGTAAGTATATCTTATATCTTTCTTTCCTCTTTCCTCTCCGGATTTTAATTGTCCTGTTTAACCTAGGACTTTTGATTGTCCACTAAGAGTTTGGATTGTCCCATAAACCCTAACCTAAGCCTACATGCCTGTGCCAGTGCTTTCGTAACATTACTTAACCACAATGTTACAACCTAATATTCCTACGTAACCTTTGATTGTCCCTAATATTTTAAATTGTCATCTAGAAGTTTTGATTGCCGTCTTCGACTTAATACTGTTGTAATGTATACGTTTAAGATTCTGAAAGGGGAAATAGAAAGAAAAAGGTTTCGAAACCCTGATTAATATTCTTTTAAGGGAAGAATGTGTCAGTTTCATATGTAACAAAAATCAAGGTAAAATGAAATTAGACCCTTACATTATGAAGGAGTTCCTCATTTCAAAAACAAGTTCATAAACTGTTGACATAAGTTTATTATGATAAATATGGTAGTATGATAAAAAGAATTAATTAAGATAAGTACGGTATTGAGATAAAGTAATAGAGATTATGTAGAGATAATTAAAATAGTTGAGATATTTTGACTATCAGAGGTTAACCTTACAATATCAGTTACAGATTTCAATATCTCTTATATCTTATACTTTCAATATATCATCTTTTTTATAACAGACAAAATTCCCCTCATTGCGCACTGCAAGGCATTCATTGGCCCATTGCTTTGTGGTGAAATATTCAGTATCTATTTTTGCTATGAAAACCTGCATGATAGACGTTATTTTGAGAACTGAATGTGACTCTATAAGGATGAGAGCAAATGAATTGTTGACAGCCCAAATTTGTCACCGACTAAGACAATTGATCACTAAATTTAGGTTTGGATTTTGAAAGGGAATGGCTTGGTTTAACTCATGGTTTTCGTTATCTTCCAAAATTTCCCTCATTGCACCCTGCATGGCATTGCCTGTCTTCATTATTGCAATTAGGTGCAGAAATGTAGCTTGTAAAACTTCATTAATTTCATTTATATCATTTATTCAGCATGCTACAGGCTGTGCACGTTAAAGATTCCTCAACAGTTGAAAATTTGAAAAGAGTAGGCTAATGCCAGTGTACTGACAAATTTTCCCTTTTTGCACACTGCATGGTGTAGCCCGTCTTCATTAGTCCAATTAGGTACATACAAGTAGGACATGTATTAAGATAAGACTAGACTAGTATAGTGAAATATTTCTATCTATTGTGTTAAATTTCACACTCCTGTCTTCTAGACTTGTTATACTTATTCAATTTACTTTTAAAGAGACTGTCTCTCTAAATTTTACAAGGTTTAAATATATTTTACCTCTCTTTTGTGACATTGTTATAATTTGAAGGAATAGGAATTAATTAGAAACAATGTTAGAAGTTAAGACCCTAGGATATCTTAGAAACAGTGTTAGAAGTTAAGACTCTAGGATATCTTAGAAACAGTGTTAGAAGTTAAGACTCTAGGATATCTTAGAAACAGTGTTAGAAGTTAAGACTCTAGGATATCTTAGAAACAGTGTTAGAAGTTAAGACCCTAGGATATCCTAGAAACACTGTTAGAAGATAAGACTCTAGGATATCTTAGAAACACTGTTAGAAGATAAGACTCTAGGATATCCTAGAAACAGTGTTAGAAGATAAGACTCTAGGATATCTTAGAAACAGTGTTAGAAGTTAAGACTCTAGGATATCTTAGAAACAGTGTTAGAAGTTAAGACCCTAGGATATCTTAGAAACACTGTTAGAAGATAAGACTCTAGGATATCTTAGAAACAGTGTTAGAAGTTAAGACTCTAGGATATCTTAGAAACAATGTTAGAAGTTAAGACCCTAGGATATCCTAGAAACACTGTTAGAAGATAAGACTCTAGGATATCTTAGAAACAGTGTTAGAAGTTAAGACTCTAGGATATCTTAGAAACAGTGTTAGAAGTTAAGACTCTAGGATATCTTAGAAACAGTGTTAGAAGTTAAGACTCTAGGATATCTTAGAAACAATGTTAGAAGTTAAGACCCTAGGATATCTTAGAAACAGTGTTAGAAGTTAAGACTCTAGGATATCTTAGAAACAATGTTAGAAGATAAGACCCTAGGATATCTTAGAAACAGTGGTAGAAGTTAAGACTCTAGGATATCTTAGAAACACTGTTAGAAGATAAGGCCCTAGGATATCATAGAAACACTGTTAGAAGTTAAGACTCTAGGATATCCTAGAAACAGTGTTAGAAGTTATGACTCTAGGTTATCCTAGAAACACTGTTAGAAGATAAGGCCCTAGGATATCATAGAAACACTGTTAGAAGTTAAGACCCTAGGATATCATAGAAACAGTGTTAGAAGTTATGACTCTAGGTTATCCTAGAAACACTGTTAGAAGATAAGGCCCTAGGATATCATAGAAACACTGTTAGAAGTTAAGACTCTAGGATATCTTAGAAACAGTGTTAGAAGTTAAGACTCTAGGATATCCTAGAAACAGTGTTAGAAGATAAGACTCTAGGATATCCTAGAAACAGTGTTAGAAGATAAGAACCTAGGATATCCTAGAAACACTGTTAGAAGATAAGGCCCTAGGTTATCCTAGAAACACTGTTAGAAGATAAGACTCTAGGATATCTTAGAAACACTGTTAGAAGATAAGGCCCTAGGATATCCTAGAAACAGTGTTAGAAGTTAAGACCCTAGGATATCCTAGAAACACTGTTAGAAGTTAAGACCCTAGGATATCCTAGAAACAGTGTTAGAAGTTAAGACTCGAGGATATCCGAGCACTAAGATCAGAATACGCAGCCAGTGTTTCTGGTATACTGTGACCTGAAGTGAAATATTTTGAAATATAAACAAAGGAAAGCTAGACTAAAAACATGTGGTAGCCATACTGATATTAAAACCATGTTTTTATCTGATGTTTTGAGGTACACTGAACCCTGTACACTGAGAAATAAGGTTATTTGTAGAATGTCAAACTATTAGTTTTTTCTCATGCTATCACTACATCTTTATGTATCATTTTATGTGTCTTTAATGATACTTGTTTTTGTGTATGTTGAACAGCAATGACAGGTGTGGCACCAGACAGGGTTGCTTACTCTTCTAGACACCTGATACCACTTTTCAATATGAAACACTTACTCACTTATGATTGATATATTTCCTCATATGAAAAGTTCATTTGCTGCTACCAATGTTTTATCAAGATGTTGTTTAGATTTAGGGTTTCGTTAGTATGGTACTTGTTTTTTTTTTTATTCATGACTTTCACTACCAGAGCTTCACTACCAGAGCTTCACTACCTGAGCGGAAGGACTGATGGTATCTTTAAACTATTGGAATGTTAATCTGGTCAAGATGTCCAGTCAACTCTTGAATGAACTGGCTCAATAACAATAAACAAGTTTTCAGTGTAGATAGCCAGCCAACTAGAATATAAAAATATATTAACACGTTATTGACAGGTTTACACAATATCTCACCTTCAGGCTTCATGAATTTTATTATGATACTCTTTTATTGAAAATTCTAGATAACATAGCTCTTTTCTTGGAGCTAGGCCTATTCTATTATGAGTTAAATTCTTAACTCACTTTAAAGAATTAAAAAAAAAAAAGAAAAAAAACTGCCACAAGAAAGATGGCTTTTGTAGTCAAGGTATAAGACACAGTTTGTAATAGCTGGACATTGTGAAGATGACAATGAATTACTAGATATTGTTGTCTTTGTGACGATTCATAATTAAGACTATGGATGTTGGTTCGTGGAAAGAACAGTGGTTCGAACGCACCTAACAGCTTCCATTGAACCTTGTGAGAAACTTCTGACACTTCCGTCTTCAACATTATTATGTCTAGATTTTTAACTCATTCTGTATCGTCTTCCATCGAATAAATGTAGAGTTTTAGTTTATTTTTTTACATCGACACATCGCCTGAACAGATGTGTTAGGAAGAAATTAAAGATATAGGCAAGCTGCTACGCTCTCGCTATTCCCCTGTTGAAATTTCGCTTTTAAATTTCCCTCATTGCACACCTCAATGCTTTTTGTTTCAGTGAATTCCAATTCAAGTGTGGGAAGTACCAAGTATGATCCTGATTTATTGAAAGCAGACGTGACCCACGCCAAGGACAGAGTCGCCAGATTAAAATGGGAGCTGCAACAAATTTCTGCCGAAATGCAACAACAGGAACGTGGTGTGGAAAAACTGACAAGGTTCGTTATTTCTTACTAACTTAGTAATACCTGCTAATCTTGAAGATTAGAACACTGACAACATTCTGACAGAATCCTGTTTCTAGGTGTATCTCATCTTCTTACTGTCTGTTTCAATATCCTGTAGTTCTTTTTTCTGTTTTCCCTGTTGAAACTCATCACAAGATTAATTTTTGAAAATTAGGCTGCTGACAACATTCTGACAAAATCCTCCGTCCTGGGCTGACCTACTTACTTCTTTCCAGGTGTATCCCTCTTCTTGCTGTTCCTTGGTCATTTTCTCTTCTGTTTTCCCTTGTGGGTTCCATAATACCGTTTGTCTGGTTATGTTACTGGGTGGTTTCCTCAGTGATTGGCCAATCTTTCCCCATTTTCTGTGCTAAATCTCATCTTCAATAGACAGTTGGTTTTTAAGGTTTGTTATTAATAATCTATATCTATATTCCCAACTACTGTTCAACAAGTTTTCCTAGATTTTATAAATTATTTCAGGCAACTATACCCCTATCTTCACAATGTCAAACTTTTACAAACTCTGTCTAATACCTTGACTGCAATAGCCACTTTTCTTGTATCACAGACAAAGTTAGTAATAGCTTGATATTATTGTGAAGAAGCTATTCCCCCTTATAGTCTGTGTATTCACGTTGAATTTACAATTCATTGAGTTTTATTTAAAGTTATTTAGTATAAAACAAATATTTAACTGTGATTTCTATTTTTGATTAGTTTATGTTATTTCAATGCTTGAGGGCTTGGTTTTCATTGTTTTATGTTTTTCCTTGTCAACTTTTTTGTGATTTTTTGAAAATATTCCGAATTCCAACTCCACCCTGATCATGATTTCTATGTTGACTGTGTATCACGTTTTTTTGTCTGATTTAGCAACCCTTGATATAAAAAACTTAAAGGAGAATAATAATTGACTGCTCTTTGATGACATGATATTTCAAAACATTTTAGATTTTTATCCCATTTCCATGAGTCAGTGAGGCAGGTTTTAGGGCAGAGGACTTGAAGGGACCCTCACCATAGAGATCACCAGTGGTATATATATAGTTGAAAATAAAAATACCTGTTATAAGTATAGAACGTAATTCTCATGTAACTGAGTTGTGAGTTGTATTCAGGTCTCATGGCCACTTTCATTATTCACAACTATACACTACTGGTAATCATTATGGTGTGATGGCATCTTTAAAGATCCTACAAAGTGAGAAACGGAAAAGGGAGCTTATAGCGTTGTATTTGAATAAATTTCCTTTGATGTTTACTGCCAGGCAAGATTGCTGTAACGATAGAAACAGTCAGTAAATTATTAACAAAAAAATTGCCAACATCGAGTGCACAATGGTGATTATTTGGCATTAAAGATAAAAAAAAAACAGAACGGAAAATTGAGTAATCAGCTTCGTACGTAATATTTGACCCAGTCTTGAAATATCATGACATACCCACGTAGTAATATATATATTGACTTGATAATCTAGCCTACGCTTTTTAAAGATTCTCTCCCACGTAGTAATATATATATTGACTTGATAATCTAGCCTACACGTTCTAAAGATACTCTCCCACGTAATAATATATATATTGACTTGATAATCTAGCCTACACATTCTAAAGAAACTCTTCCATGTAATAACATATATATTGACTTGATAATCTAGACTACACGTTCTGAAGATACTCTTCCACGTAATAATATATATATTGACTTGATCATCTAGCCTACACGTTCTACAGATTCTCTCCCATGTAATAATATATATATATTGACTTGATAATCTAGCCTACACGTTCTAAAGATACTCTCCCACGTAATAATATATATATATTGACTTGATAATCTAGCCTACACGTTCTAAAGATACTCTCCCACGTAATAATATATATATTGACTTGATAATCTAGCCTACACATTCTAAAGAAACTCTTCCATGTAATAACATATATATTGACTTGATAATCTAGACTACACGTTCTGAAGATACTCTTCCACGTAATAATATATATATTGACTTGATCATCTAGCCTACACGTTCTACAGATTCTCTCCCATGTAATAATATATATATATTGACTTGATAATCTAGCCTACACGTTCTAAAGATACTCTCCCACGTAATAATATATATATATTGACTTGATAATCTAGCCTACACGTTCTAAAGATACTCTTCCACGTAATAACATATATATTGACTTGATAATCTAGACTACACGTTCTGAAGATACTCTTCCACGTAATAACATATATATTGACTTGATAATCTAGACTACACATTCTAAAGAAACTCTTCTATGTAATAACATATATATTGACTTGATAATCTAGACTACACATTCTAAAGAAACTCTTCTATGTAATAACATATATATTGACTTGATAATCTAGCCTACACATTCTAAAGAAACTCTTCCATGTAATAACATATATATTGACTTGATAATCTAGACTACACGTTCTGAAGATACTCTTCAACGTAATAATATATATATTGACTTGATCATCTAGCCTACACGTTCTACAGATTCTCTCCCTTGTAATAATATATATATATTGACTTGATAATCTAGCCTACACGTTCTAAAGATACTCTCCCACGTAATAATATATATATATTGACTTGATAATCTAGCCTACACGTTCTAAAGATACTCTTCCACGTAATAACATATATATTGACTTGATAATCTAGACTACACGTTCTGAAGATACTCTTCCACGTAATAACATATATATTGACTTGATAATCTAGACTACACATTCTAAAGAAACTCTTCCATGTAATAACATATATATTGACTTGATAATCTAGACTACACATTCTAAAGAAACTCTTCCATGTAATAACATATATATTGACTTGATAATCTAGACTACACGTTCTGAAGATACTCTTCCAGTTCTCTACTCAATTGCAATGGAAATTTTTTGCCTTATCTTCACAATGTCAAGCTAATATGAACTTCATCTTTTACCTTGAGCCTGAACAGAAAGACTGTTATAAACTTTCTGTTGAGTCCTCTGATTAGCTGTATACTCTAGCGTACAATCCAATCAAATCGTTGCATTCCATGATACAAGAATAGTGGTAATTGCAGTCAAGGTATAAGATTAGTTTTTAATAGCTTGATATTGTGAAGCAATTAGTACAAGCTATTGGTAGCAATGTTTCAAAATGATGTCACCCCTTTAAAAAACAAAATATCATGGCCAACTGTTTGACGTAATACTTGACACTTGTTTTAACTTTTGGTATTTGAAATCTGTTTATTTCTAAATTGACTATTTGACAAACAATTAACGTGTTTTATTGTCTACACTGTGGTCTGACGATGGTAATTTTTTTTTGAAATTCGACCCTGAAAAACTGTTCTATGAAGTAACTAGAATGAATGAAATTTGTTTTAATGATGTCTATATACAGTGATATGTAAATAACCAAGTATCATCATTCTTCATTGACAATTTCTTACCAACGTCAACAATTTACATGTTGAGTTTTTTTTGCCGTTGTTGTGGTTTTTGATGATGCAACAATAATACGCTGTTTCCTGTCACAAGAAGATGGAATGAATAATGACAGGCTTTAAACTAAATATCAAGAATCTTCAGTGACTATTTAATACATCTATAATGATGGTGTTTCTGTTTGTTTGTGAGGCCTTCGTGACAAAAACATAATATTGCTAAACTCTTTCCCTTTCCTTCAACCGGTCGTTTTGAGTTTTCACAAAACGTTTGCCGTCTGTTACCAAATGATATAACACAATTCATTCAGTTCAGAACAACGCTTTGATAAGTTTTGCTTTATGAAGATATTCCTGTTAGTTGTCTGCTACGATAGACGATAGACGTACAAGTAGATACCAGTATATAAAACTGAAGTCACGAATCACAGCTATAGGGTTTATAAGTGTTAAAATATTTAACTCACTGTAGTTGTCATTAAACATAGTACTTTAACATGTAATATTAGTCAGTCACATTCTCTACATACCAACTGGACAGTCAGGACTACTGTCTCTATCATCCAGACTTTATACTTCTGTCTACAGTAATAACACAGTATCTTTTTATCTGTTTGAATTATTACCATTAATCTGTAATCTGTATGGTATAAACGAGACTAATGTGTCCTTTTTGACCAATAATTATCGTTGAAGAATTGACCGGTCTAAATCTCCAGATTTTAAGCAAACAAGTGTGTCTATTTTGTCAATGTTTTGATCAGACACATGTGTCTTAATACTGACTAGACATTATGTGTCTCTATTGAACAGACCTCTGATCTAATACAAATATCTGCTAGATAATTAGGCTTAGGTTCATGAGAATCCTATCAACTGCCTGGACTGACATAACCAAGCAAAATCAATCATATTCCAACTCTCTAACTGTCTGGACTACAGCCTGTACTCTATTTTATGCTTGATTTGATTTTTGCCGTAATTTTGAATCCATCTTTCACAAAAACGTACATCATAAAAATCTGTACAAGCAAGACAATTCCACCAATCAAAATCTCATCCAAATAAAGCCAAAATCAGGAGTAAAAGTTGTATAGTAGTGAACTTCTCGAAAGAGAAGTACCATCAGGTGTTTTGAAAAGAGTAAGCATGGTCTGAAATACAAGTTTGATGTATATGAAATCTGATGTTGGTTGTTGTTATATTTTCAGGGTAGATGAGAAGCTGTCTGGAATGAATGGAGGCTACAGTGTAACTCAGGCCCAGGGAATTTTAACAAAAATACGACAAATTCAGATGGCCATGTCTTCTAGTGAAAAAGAAAAGATGGAACTTATGCAGGTAAGGTTTAATTTGTCATATTCTCAACTGTCTGGTTGACAACTGCTGTTAATGCAGCGATTTGATTGGATTGTATATAAACGAATACAACCAATCACAGTCCTCCACTGAAAGATTGTAAAGATGAAGCCAGAAAACTTATGGTCTGTCTGAGTGCTCTAATTTGTTGTATTCGCTGGCCTACAATCTGTTACACAAGACTTGTAGTCAAGTCAATAGCCTGACATTCTAAAGATGCAAGAAAGGTGGCTATTACAGTCAAGGTATAAGTACGAAGTCTGTGATATCTTGACATTGTGAAGATGTGATACAAGAAAGGTGGCTATTACAGTCAAGGTATAAGACTTAGGTCATAATAACTTGACATTGTGAAGATGTTTCTGTCTAGACCACATCTTGTATATTCACCTATGTTTTCATCTGTATCTAGAATCAGCACTGTACACCACATCAAACATTGTACCAAATTGTATTATCAGTAATAATTTATATTAAATAATATCTGTTAGACTATTATGTTTAAATCTCATGATGTATATTGTTCACCCAAGTTATTTTAGTTTCCCTCAGGATATTTCCTGTTTGTATTTGACATTTCATACTGTTATTGTCAACAAGCAGGCAGAATATATTTCTGTAACAACATTTGACAGTTGTGGCATTCCATTTGAAAATGGAGGTTAAAAGTTTTTTTTAGTTTCGACTTGTTTACGTTTAAATTCTTATGCCATTTTAGTTGTTTATGTTGGTTTTTGAAGGTCATTTTGTATATTTTTACTGAATGAAATTGTAGTTAACACATTTCTCTTTTGTTTCTTGCTATTTTGACAGATTTACATGGAAAAAAATTTCACTCAACAATTGCTAAAATGCTTGTGCCTAAGATACTTACACAGAACTGTTACATTTGTCCCAATTTGAGGTTTTGAATTTGCCAGACATGTGTTATAGCTACCTCAGCCAGTGTTTACGGAATGAGTTCTGCATCTGATACATTCATTCCTCCCACCTGCTGCAAATTCCAAAACTGTTAAATTGCGAGAAAGTTGGCAGGAGGTGTAAAATTTGGAGAAGAGAATGTTTTTTATTTTGTTTTGTACGTTGTTTCTAGAGTAACGGTAAATATCATATGTTGTTAAGAGTAAAAAATTTACTATGAGTCATTGTAGAAGAATTCTGGGTATAAATTCCACTGATAGATGGCAGCGGGTAAAGATGCTTGCTTAGGCTAAGATAGAAAACTTCATTGGTTGTTATGGTCTACTATAACATCAGTAATATGGCCCTCACACCATGGTGATGTATAGTTGTGTATGGTTGCCAATAAAAATTGCAATCTAATCTAATCAAACTCTCGAGTAACTGAGTTGTGAGTTGTATTCAGAAATCATGATCACTTTTATTATTCACAACCATATACAACTAGTAATCACTATCGTGTGATGGAATCTTTAAGTCAAGCTAAGACATTGAGATCACAAGTTGTACAGGCTATGAATTGTTTTCAAGGGAGAACAAGTCAGTCTAATCATTCTGGAAATCAATTAGACAGTTTTTATCTCAATTTCATTCTCATTCAAACTACTTAACTGTTTCACCCATACAAAAAATTTCATAAAATTTCATATGAGAGCTAGTCACTTTAAATATTCTGGAAATCAATTAAGACTGAATAGTTTCAGGATGGCGTCATTGTCTGTTAAAGTGATCAGATTGCAGAATTGGCACCGGTGAATTTTGGCACATAGCGTGTGAGCTAAAGGTGTAGCCAACAATATCTCTGAGAATAATGGCAGGAAAAAAACAGTTGTTGAAAAATATGTGAATTCCTGACATTTTCAAGAGAATGTTTTTGTGATAAATTGTGCTAGCGGTGCACGAGGAAAGGACTGGCGCTACTTCTAAATGAAATTAGTACAGAACAGGGTGACCTAGGTAACTTTGAAAACATTTATTTAGATTAACAACATTTCCTCCTGCAGTTTATTTTTTCATTTTCTTTATTTCTCTTTACCGAGTATCTCTGATGTAATTCTGACGTCTGCCAAAAAAACTTTACCCTCGTAGAACTACATTTATAAAATTCATAACTCATAATTCATAACGTAATATCTTTCTACAATTCTGCTGCCGTTTTCATACCATAGTCACCATTAAAAATATTTACAATACAACGTGATTATTACTGTTCTCTTAATTCCTCCTGAAACATCAGGCTTTATTTATTTTTATCTTAAACAGATTGTAAAGAGGTTTTCTAAAAATTTATGTGTATCAGGGATACTGATAGTGATAGCATCAATTTGCACCATTCCAATTTTCAATCAGACGTCTATGATTCTTGTAATTCCATTAAAACTTTGCATTTTATGACGTCACTAAGACAAAGGTCTTTATATATCTATAGAAGCTTTTGCAATAGTGACGTCATCAAACATGGAATTGCAAGAACCACAGACGTCTGTAAATTGGAAGGGTGTAAATTGATGATAAGTAATGTTGATATTGTAGGTTATGTTCTTGTGTAAAAGATTAAGAAAGTAAAACTAATCTATCTTCAGCTTGGCCTAGAGTTTATCTCGACTTGTAGAGAAATTATCACTGAAGTCTGAAGTTAACTTGGTTTATTTATGAATGAATTTTGTATGTTTATAATCCTGATATATCATCTTTATATCTTACATATAACATTCATATCTAGATTTATTAGAGGAGATCTAAACTGTTATTAAATAAGCCTTTAATTCGGTGAATCCTGATATATCATCTTCATATCCTACCTATAACATTCATATCTAAATTTATTAGAGGAGATCTAAACTGTTATTAAACAAGCCTTTAGTTCGGTGAATTTTTTGAGTACAGTATTAATGAATACAGAAAAATGAAATGGAGTTATACATCTTACTTTGTTTAAAGAGAATTATCTGATTTACTTTTTTCCTACGTAGAATCTTACACATGTTGGCCTTTGGTATCAGAGTTTATAAGTTGAGTTTAACACTGATATCAACCAAACCTTTAGTGCGATCAAGCATGGTTCTGAACCTCACCACTAACAGTGATGGTGGATTAAGGTTCTGAGCTGATTTTTTAGGGTTTTTTCTATCTATTAAGGTGTTGATTGTAATTTTATTCCAGGTGATTTCATAGTTTTATTGTCTGTTTTTTTCTCACTAGACTATCTTTCTTTAAAATCTATGAAAATTAAATTTCAGATTCAGAAAAATACCCGAATATATTTCACCAAGTTTGTTATTTAACTGTTATATATTTGATACACAATTTAAAAGCCAGTGACGTAAATGTTGTACTTTGTTGACATTTAAAGTTGATATAATATGTTGTTAGTTGACCCCTGATATCCGAATGTTTGACCCCATGTAGCGTTGCTGTTAATTACTTTAAAAGGACAAATTCGCTATTCGTTAGTCCAATTGTACCTAAGTTTCAGAAATAAGAATTTTTCAGCTAGCTATTTAAGGGTTCTATCAATTATTTTAAAGGTACTGACCCTCGTTTCACAAGAATTTATACGACAAAACTTTTACGCTAAGTGAAGAAAAGTTATTTTTGTCATTTTCAAATCGTTAATTTATAATGTTTACGCCTGTACATTCATCTACCATATTTTTCCATTCGTTTAACCAATCGTACCTTAGTCTCAGAAACAGGATTTATTTGGCTAAGCTAATCAGTAATAGTGTTCACAGCTCACTGTCGCCTTATTAGCTCTTGTTAATAATAACTAGTTTCTTTTCAACTGTCCGAACCTAATATATTGCATATTTTACTTTCTGTTGCTACTCTCAAGGTTTTTAAAGATCCCTCGTCAGCTGGAAATCGAAAAAGATCAGGCTAATGCGGCTGTCCTGGCAAAATTTCCCTCATGGCACCCTGCATGGCGTTGCCCGTCTTCATTAGCCCACAAGGTGCAGAAAAGTAGGACGTAAAACTCCATTCATTTCATTTCATTTACTCTCAAGGTTATTAATTAGTAAAGTGTATTCTAGTTTTTTTGAGGCCTAGTTAAGATTATGATTTGGGTTATTTCTGCTGTGGATGCTAGGTACAGTACAGGTTTTGGCCTTGTGGCATTTAGAGATCCACAACTTCTAATCTTGGAAAAAGTTTGGTTTTATTCAGTGTTTTTGAAGTTTCATATAAACCAAAATACAATGTATTAAACAGTTATCTGGTTTGATATTGGCCTGGCTATTATTATTAAAGATTGACATATCTAGGTCATGTATATATATATATAACTAATTAGCCCTGGAGGCCTGTAGGAAACAATGTTTTAATGTTATTAAGTTTAATTACTAAGTCCTACTTTACTACTGTATGTATAGTTGCCTACTTTACTACTGTATGTATAGTTGCCTACTTTACTACTGTATGTATAGTTGCCTACTTTACCACTGTATGTATAGTTGCCTACTTTACTACTGTATGTATAGTTGCCTACTTTACTACTGTATGTATAGTTGCCTACTTTACTACTGTATGTATAGTTGCCTACTTTACTACTGTATGTATAGTTGCCTACTTTACTACTGTATGTATAGTTGCCTACTTTACTACTGTATGTATAGTTGCCTACTTTACTACTGTATGTATAGTTGCCTACTTTACTACTGTATGTATAGTTGCCTACTTTACTACTGTGGAATTGCAGGAACCACAGACATCTGATTGAAAATTGGAATGGTGTAAATTGAAGCTATCACTGTTTTTGATAAACATATGTTTTAAGAAAACTAGCTATTATAGTGTTTATTTATAAACAATATTAAACTGTTACGTATTCTCTATAATTTTAGACCCTTGCCAGATTAAAAGAAGAATTTTTATTAAGTCGTTATGGTGGTTCGTCTCCTGATGTCTCAACCCTGTCTTTAAATCAAGATCGTTCCACGACGGCATCACAGACAGATTTACGTGGAGAGGTAGGCATCAAAATTTATTTCCTTAACACACAAGCTAATAAGAAACAGGAAGTTTTTAGCTGAGTCAATCAGTAGTTCACTGTCTTCAAATCTGTCTTCATATGTGTCTAGTATTACATTAACGAGCATTTTCCAGCCAACCTTTGTCCTGATATACGACCATAACCACCATAAGATAACAGTTTATTGCTTAAATATTCAAGACTCAAATCAATCTCTGAAAATAGTGAGCTTGTCCCTTTAAAGTCAAATTCCCTCAAGAAATGATGCTGTTCTTTTTCCAGTTTGGTTTGTCTCAAAGTCGTTATATCGTAGAAAAGGCCAGATTACGTCTGCAATGTGATGAGGCATATCAAAAACTGAGTGATTTGAAGAAGAAGCTAGCCACAGTGGAGGATAAAATGATCCCTGGACAAACCGAGTCAGATAAGGATAGATTGTTATTGTTACAAGAGAAAGATCAGTTGGTTCGAGAGCTGAGAAGTATTGATCCTAAGGGAAGGTCCGAGGATGAAATGACGTCCATTCGACAGAGAATTCGTCAGCTAGAACAAGATCTTCAAACTGGAATGGAACTCTCCAATAAACAAATTGCTGAAAGGTGAGAATAGTTTTTATTTCAATTGATATTTGATAAAAAACAGGTTGATTCAATATCCAACACTCCTGTCAAATAATTTTGGGTTACGATATCAAAGATTGATTATTATCAAGAAACAGGTTCTACATGACACGCTTTGATTGGTTAAAAATACTACCTTTGGGACAGACCCTTGATAGAAAACTTTCGAGATTAAAATATCTTAAAACAAATAAGAAACAAAATCTAAATTGGATTTGAAAGGAGTGATTATGGTCTGCTTCACATTTTATGGACAAGACTCATGGTTTGATTTTAAAATCGTTTTCGTTTCAGATTAAAACTACAAAATGAAAAGACGTCCATTCAACAACAACTTTCTGAAACAACCAAATTAACATCACAGCTAGAGATGCAGTTGAAGAGGTGGGTTAGATTGATATCTTCTTGATAAAAGGGGAGGGGGGTCAGTTCCAAAAATTTGGAAAATTTGATTAAGTGGAGAAAGCAAAAATAAGGTGTGTCTCAAAATCCAAAAACCCAAGCTCTATGTTGGACCCATCTTCTCAATGTCAAACTATTCTGAACTTTGTCTTATACCTTGACTGCGAGGGGACTTGGTTTGGCTGTAGTAGTTAACCTAAAATACAACCAAATCGCTGTATTCCAGGATACAAGAATAGTAACGATTGCAGTCAAATTTGCTCAAAAAACTGCTGAATTCTAGAAACCTTTACTATATCTTTTCAGCATGTCTTTCAGTACGTTGTCCATATCCTCAGGATCAAGTCTTGGTTCCATTGGATCATTGTCAGCCAGTAGTCGCGGTTCCTTAAACTCTCTTAGTGCCATAGATATTTACAATCAGGCACAAACAGGAAGTGATGTCAATATTCAAGACTTACATCAACGCGTTGAAAAACTCTTACAAGGTCACAGTACGTGTATGTCACCAATAAACGAAACACACGTCCCAGTCGCGGAGCCTGAATTCACTGGCGACTTTCCACGACCCATGGCAGAAATAACTGCCGCAGCTACCGAGCAATACTTACAAAGTGTGATGGCAAGTAACGAGAATGTTGCCATAGCAACAAGTCACGTGAAACCTCCGTCACCAAAGACTTCTATATCATTAGCATCCCAATCACCAGGTTCTGTAGAAGTGGGACCCCTACCATCTTACGAACAGCATGTAGAACGTCAACGTCGCATTCAAATCGGTAACTCATGGACAATAAACGGAAGTGTCTTACCTCCAAATCAACTAGAACAATCAAAACATGTGGACGCTCTTTCGAACTTACGACCTGAAGTGAACAATTCCCGCCACCCCCCTGCCTATATATTGGGTGCTATAGTGAGTAATAATAACGTTGTGAAAAGGCATGGTGGAGGGGAACTATTTGATTCGACATCGAACCCTCCATTAAGTCCTATCAGTGAAAATAGTTCGGGTGTGTGTAATAATCTGTCGGGCGGTAACACGCGGAGTGTGTCTGCTGCTGTCAGTGACGAATCAGTAGCGGGTGATAGCGGAGTATTTGAGGCTTCTGTTAAAAGGTAAGTCCTTTAATATTATTCAACTTTTGACTGTTGTAGTGTAAAGGCTGACTAGAATTTCGAAACAGCTCTTATTGTTATCTGCAATTTGATTGGTTCATTTTATGATTGGTCAAGGTGTTTGGCCAGGAACCTCCTGGTGGAGGATCTCCAAGCCAAAGTTGTTATCCTTGTGGCCAGAAATGTATTTTCTTCTATCATTCAATCAAATTTGAAAATCTTGATTTTTGTTGGGATAATTGGAAAAGAAGAATGTTTAGTCTCTGTTTATTTGTAGAACTGTAAATATTGTCTCTGTTTATTCGTAGAACTGGAGATATTGATGAAGTATTAGAATCAAGATTAGAGAGTGCTCAAATACAGATCAAATTAAAGTAAGTCTAGAATATATTACTATAATAAATGTTTTTGCACCCAATAAAATTTTCTTTCGTACAAAAATTTCTCCATTGAATACTGCATAGCATTACCTGTTTTCAATAGCCCAATTAGGTATGATGTAAGCATTTTGGTGCAGTAAAGATATTTTTACAGGCGGTAACCTTTCCAAACATTTACAGTCCCTTATCATTCCTGTTTATGAAATATTAATGCAGAGGACGTTAAATATCTTGGATGCTGAAAGATCTGTGTCAAACAGGTCTTGTTTCATTTGGTATCAATAACTGTTAATTCTACTAAGAATACATGAATGAGTCAACCAAACATGCTTCACTTATCTCTAAATATAAATATTAGATGGTGAAAACCACAAACTGTGTAGGTGTGTTGAAATCTCAGCTGATTTTAGCGAGTGTGGGAGTTAAAACTACTTTATTTTAAGTACTCTACTCAATATCTAGTTTCACTTCTGGTAAAAACCTAATAATTTTCTTGTAAACAAATTTTTAAAACAATTTCATCATTTTACCAGAATGTTGATGAAATTTGTTAGAGTGAAACAACAGTTGTTAACTTTGATAATTAAATCTAATGGACTTCCTTAATTATTTTTATTTGTATAGAAATTGATTTATATGAATTGTATATTTCTATACTTTTCAAAAAGCACAACAGATATGACAGACATATTAAGGTTTCTAAGCCTAATGTTTTGGTGATGAGGGAATGCTGTTTATTGTAATATAAACGCCACATGTATTTACATCAGTCCAATGGACAAAATAATAACTAATATAGATATTGAAAGATAAAAATATTCAAATATGTCTACTTATTCATTTACAACGTGATACACAACCAAATTAACAATCTCAACTTGCCAGTTATTTCATCATTTTAAATAGTTGTGGTTTTTGAGGATGGGAAGGGTAAATTCTGATGAATTTATTTAGAAATTTGATTGAAAACAAACAACAAAATCTGTCAAAATTTTTATCGTTTGATTGGAGATTAGACTGTAGCATGAATTCGTGTAGGATGAGGGATGACTGAAAGGTTTCTCATCAAGTTTAGAAACTTTAATTGATGAAGTAGGCTACTTTTGATTCCTTATAGTCTGTGAGCCATTTACCGGTTGTATCTGATTCTTGCTCAAAATGGCAGGCTTAAAATCACTTTGTAAATTGGTACCAATTATGAGCATTCATGATTGGCTGAGAATATATTTTCCATCCAATCAGCATTGACTAAATTTTCTGTTAAGTGGTTCACTTAATTGTTGAGAATTTGACAATCGCATGATATTTTGACTGACAGCTGGTATAGGGGATCCAATTCTCTCTATTGATCTTACTGCTATATTTACTAGTTCTAAGTATTTCAAATAGAACTTCTCTAAATGTAGACTTGTATATTAGTCTAAAAATGACTCATGATCCATGACAGAGGATTCAACCTTTTCAGTCAACCCTCAAACTAGAATATAATATGTAGGTGGGTAGATATAAATATTTACAAGTTATAATTATATTGGTATGTGGGCGTGAGAATTTACTCAAGTTATATTACCTTATTACATTTAAGTAATTTATGAAAGCACAGGCATGTAGGCTCTATTGAGAGAGGATAGTGTTTCTGCAGTTAGTTTAATTAATATAATATAATTTGAATATTTGAAATGAAAATCCATTATCTTCAGAATCAGAAATATAAAAAATAAGAATACTGCTTCCTACAGGAGCAATAATATCACATAGAATTATAATAATCATTTTTACTTGTAAAATTTGGGAATATTTAACAAGTTAACATATAAATATCAAACATATTAAATATTGTTTCCATCATTTAAAACTACAGGTAAAAACTTTGCAGACGTGAAATAATGGTGGCAACTAAGAGTTCTTGCTGACAGCATGATTCCTACCAAAAGTCTAAAAATGTCAAAATTTTCATTAAAATCACACGAAACTATTAATTATTAGTTAAAGTTTAAAATAGAGGAATGTGTTTGAAGTCTGTCTACTAATATTTGTCTAATGTTTCTTGTACTTCTGTTAGTTTGAGATGCATGTTGGGAATTGAACAAATGCCAAAATCATTTAGTTTTTTTTATTTCTTCAGTAGAATTTAAACTCTGAATGTCTGCAGACGAAGCTTTTCTTAAAAACTCTGCAATTAACTTTTAAAATTACAAGTTAGACAAAACTTAATAATAACTTAGCAGTTTATTGTCTTTTAAAAACTAATTCCAAAACATAGATTCCTGCAAGTTATTCCAACTAAGATAAAAGGTTTCTGGAATTACATGGTACCATAAATTCTTATTTTCATGCAAACTCAAGAATTTTTGATAATGCTCACTAATTCTAGTTTATGAGGAACTAATATTGAATAAATAAATAATCACATTATCTTGTTATTTTGGATTAAAATTAGATAAAAACATCTGAATTCTTGTAGATTACGAGGTTAAAGTGACTTTCCTCTCAATAAATAGTCTTCAGAATTACCAGAACTTCACAAAAATCACATAATTCATTCAAATAGGCAGAGTATCAAAAAAAAGACGTGTTGTAATTTTAACATTCAAATACAGATAAAGACACGTGGATTTGAAGGCTCAAATTTCGATTGTGAGCTGTGAACACTATTACTGGTTGGCCTAGCTGAAAAATTCCTGTTTCTGAGACTAAGGTATGATGTGTTAAACGGATGGTGAACCTGTCTTTTTGACGATGTTGTGTTATATGATTATTTAATACATCTTTCTGTTTTATTTTAGATATGAAAATATAGAAAAGATTCTGAAGATTGGAGTGGAACAGGGGAGAAATTTCTCTGCTCTACCATTTCCTAAAAATACTAAAGTGTAAGTAGAATATCTTTTGCTGATTTCAGTCTGGTATGATCATAGGCTTAGACTGAAGGTGTCGAGGTAGGGCCCCAGGGGTAAACAGGGGTAAACAAACTGTTCAGCTAAATAGAGGTAATTTGGGGGGTCATATGACAAAAATAGGGTTTTTCACTGCCCCTATCAAAACATCAAGGCTGTATATTTTACAGACTGTACACAATATAATATATACCATAATAAATCTTACATATTGTCATGGTAACATTTTAATTATTGTAAAATTCTATTTTTCAGATGCATAAAAACTGCTCTTCTTCCTCACACTGCTGAATTATGGGAAACACGTGCCATTACAGATTTAAAATCACCGAAATTTAACGAAACCCATCTGGTCCAGATACAAGAATCTAAACTCTGCTCTCAGACTCTACAAGTTAATGTTTTCTGTATTTTGGACTCTGGCAGAGATGACTGTCTGGTAAGCATCAATCAATTAAAGACACTCATAACAATTGCACTAATGCGGTACTATTGGTTGTGACAATATGTTCCATATGTAATCACAGCAGTCTATCCGCACACTCAACACATACAATATGTAATCACAGCAGTCTATCCGCACACTCAACACACACAATATGTAATCACAGCAGTCTATTCGCACACTCAACACACACAATATGTAATGCACGTCCAAAATATTGGTTGTATTTGTAAACATCATGCAAGTGTTAGGGAGACTGAAAGATTATTCCTCACTAACTTGTTATTTGTTGATTCTGTTCAATTTAGATTATGTTAATAGACTCAGAGTTAATGATTTAAAACATTATCTCCTGGATGTCCATATCTACCACCAACTATACATTTGAACATGTGGACTCTCTGAAAGAATGCCAAGTACACCAATTTTTCACCAAATCTCCAGATTTTTTTTCTTGACCTGTACACATGTATGTGAACACCAACCAGCTTGCTGATAATATTAACCACTTTATTTCAGGGGTCATTTCAAGTGAGTTTAGCTGATTTTGATCCTAAAGAAATCTCGATACGCTGGTTCAATATACTGAATTTTAAATTCATGCAACCAGCTGTACGTAAAGTCTGCACTGGATCATCAAGTCAACAGTCATCATCGGGCAGTTCAGAGATCAATAAAGCTTCCAGTCTTATAAACAAGGTAGGTAGAAGTTTATACTAGTTGGAAAGCTGGCTTGGTATGTGCTCTGACTCAGCTATTATTGATTAAGGAATTAACATATTTTGTGGACTCTTAAATGGGAAAGCCAAAGTAGGTATAGCTAGTCACATGGTGGAGTGGGGTCACATGGTGGAGTGGGGTCACATGATTGGGTGGGGTCACATGATTGGGTTGGGTCAGATGGTAGGGTGGGGTCACATGTTCCTGAAGAGAGAGGGCCAATATCAAGCTATTACCAAGTGAAACTAATACCTTGACTGCAATAGCCACCTTTCTACCTAAGAAATTGCTGCATTTACAAATTTTTGTGTTACAAGTAAGGTGGCTTTTAAAGTCAAGGTATAAGATGCAGTTACATTGATAAAAGTAGGAGTATATTATCTTGACTTGTGTTCTAATAAAAATTATCAACACAGAATTAAAATAGTTTTAAGAAGATTACATAAAATGATATAAAATTAATTAAAACTGATAAAACCACAGACTTAAAGTGACAGTACCTAATGTTTCACCCCAAATTAAAGTGACGGTTCTTCATCAAATTATTCAAATATTGCTCTTAAGTGGTTTACTATTGGTTGAATTTCTAGTTCCCCAGCAAACCCCATTTTGCATGAATAGTTCAAGATAGTTCGCGAACATTTTCAAAAGAAGCAAAATCTTCATTAGTCTTTTGACAACCAAATAAATTAACTTATGACATTCTCCGTGGCTATCTTTGTTGAAAAACAGTTTCATTATTTAGTTTTTGTTTCACGTAAACTGAATAATTCGAAAAAATTATGCACCAATGCACCGCCTATTTTTTTTTGAAATAAAAAAATTCTCTCTGATGTTGACTTAACAATCTACACTTAAAAACCTCAATAACATACCAGACAGACAAACCTCCTGCTGTCATCTTGAATTAAATCCAACTCACTTGTTTTACAATTTCCTTTGATATTGCTAAAATTCTTCAAGTTTTTTAAACTTGCATTATGGTGATAAGAGACAAAAAAACAAAAAGTTTAAATTTACCAGACGACAAGTTGGTACACTTTCATCACAGTCGCTAGGTATGAATTGGTGCTGGGGCTCAGATTTTGTTCTCAGAAAGCCCTTACGCACCCCACCCTAACGACAGGGCTGTACACTTTTGTCACAGTTAACCCTAGTCGAAGACATCTGCCTCTATTCTAACCTCAGAATGATATTGTGAAAGTTGTCGACTGGAATCGGTCAGAAAAACTTGGCCCTTTATTTATGGAGATTTTCCACAACCTTGAAGGTGTTGGCTTTCTTTAACATATTTATTTTTGAAATCCTGATACTGAGGTATCACCAATACTTTAGTTTTGTTAGTATCACGTGACCCTGTGACCCTTGAATACCTTCATAACAGTAGGATATAAAACTCTATTTCATTACAACAGTACATTGTAATTCTTCAACATGAAAGACTAATTATAATTAAATTACTCATGTTTATTTTGATGGTTGAAGTTCGTTAATATTTTAACGAGGTTTTTATTTTCTAATTAAATCAGACTTAGTGGGATATAATGAAGTTGAATGAAAGTTTGGAAATCTTCCTAATATCTTAATTTCAATTTTCAAAATAAACACAACATTAATCAAACTTTTTTGTTGAATTGGTTGCCAAAATTAATTAACTTAATAATTCTGTCTGTATGTAAACTTTGCAATGTAGTTTTTTTTTCTGTCCATGAATAGGGTTCTATAAATTAACCAATATAAAAGTGGAAAAGAAGGCTTTTCATCTTAGTTTATAATTCAATTATTTAAATAATGTAGTCTGGTTTATCAGGACATTTTAAAATACATACAAAAAATATATATATATTAGCAGGTAGAAATATTAAAATGTAGTCTGGTTTATCAGGATGTTGTAAAATACTAAAAAAATATATCCAATGAACAAGTAGAAATATTAAAATGTATTAAACTCTATTTTAACAGTGAGAATTTTATATTATATTATCATAGTTTTAGGAAAATAACAATAATTTAAAACAATTTTTACATATTCAGAAAAAATATATATATTAACAGGTATATGAGAATAACAATAATTTTTTAAAATTTTACGCATTCAGAATTTGGGGGAGACATTTCCTAAGTGAAATCTATTTATAAGAATGTGATTTTGATTTCTATTTCAGAAAGAAACTTCCAGTAACAATGATAAAGTTCAATTGTTATTAGAGGCATCATCTGCTAAATTACGGAAGTCTTCATTATCCAGTGAAGATAGATCTTCATCTCTAGAAAATAATAGGTAAGCTTAAAACTTCTGTTAAAAGAAACAGGCTGAAAATGGTTTTTTACCATGTGTACACTGAGCCTCTTTCTTGCAGAACAAAATATTCTATGAAAATCCTGTTGTCTTGGAAGACAGTTATGTCATACATTGCAAAGCTTTCATTCCTTCATAGGGTGACCTTCTTTACCATAGACATCAATTAAACAACATAGTTAGCAGACATCCTATTTTTATTTTTGTATCTATTTTGTGAAATTCAACATGAGGTATTTGCTATGATATAGTTATGGCCCTGTAATACTCTCACCTGTATGTTATTATAATAATATATTTGCAAGGACATAATCTAAAGACTTATTTATTCTGTGTTTTCAGTCAGAGTAAAGCATCATCATTACAAGTCAAGTTAAAAGAAGAGTCCAGTGATGAATCTACCATCATTTCATCACAGACGTCAACCTTGACTAGAAACCAAGGTAGGTAACTCTGGAAGCATTTACTGCCTTAGACTTGGCTTTCAGGGAAATTTCGATGAGCAAGTTTGTTGAGAAATGGATGATACTTAGTTTTACTATGCTAACACTTTTCTAAACACCTGATGGTACTTCTCTTTGAGAGGAGTCCACTACTATACAGTTATTACCCCTGATTTTATCAGAGATTCTTAGTAAACAGAATTTTTTTGCTTTTACTAATTATTGTTTTTCCAAGAATACTATAACATTAAAGGGTTAAAGGGACTTTTCCTAGAATTTCTTCTTTTATCAAAGAATCATTGACTAAGAAATCCAATTTAAATACAATTTTGCTCATCACTCAATTCACCTTTTCTCTGGAATATTTGCAGGTCCAGAAGCTATGGAAGGTCATGGTGATACCAATAATGATCGAGATGATAATGAAAATGATGATGATGATGATGATTATTGTGAAGATTGTGATAATGATTTGGAAGAGGAAGATGAGGGGGTGAGGATATTGTTATTTTTGAAGGGGAAAGTTGCGTTCTAAATTTAAGTTTGATATTCTTATACGCAACTATACAACTGGTGATCACTATGGTGTTAGGGTGTATTGAGATGAGTCTCAATGAAAGCACTGGCCTAGGTCACAGAGCAATAGATAAGTCAATTAATTATTTTAAAATTAGTTAGTCATTAGTATGATTTTAGTTGTGAGGGTGCTTTAAGTAGAATGTTGCCCTTGTTTTGATAAATCTGGGTTTCTCTTTTGGTTATCAAATTCTGAACTTTAAGTACTTGTTTGTTTCAGGATTATAATGAGGTTCATCAACTTGTCCTGGAAGAATTGGAGAGATTAGAAAATTCAGACCAGTTTGACGAGAGATTCACAGAATCAGACGAATCATTACATATTCATAAATGTGACCAATCAACAAACACTGAGGGTGAATACAGACTACGCGAGGCTAAACGACGTTCACACGAAGCTGTACGCAACTCTGCCATCAGACGGTCCCAAACTTTCTCTCCAGCCTGTCGGCAAGGTCCAGGATACATCTGTAAGGTAAGGGAGATAACTACAATTTAATCTGAAAATGACAGACATTGCCTGGTTGGTTGAAGGGCAATGGGCTGAAATATTTGAACAGTTCAGTAAAGATGGAAGTCGCCTAAATATTTTGTGAAAAATCTCTGATAACGTTATTAGCCATATTGACTCTCCCAAAACTGATTTAAAGCTGACAAACCTTATTACAAACTGACATCAGATTTTGTCCTGCCATTTACACAACCACAGTATAGTAGAATGAGTAATATTCAGCCATCAAAAATGAGCCTGTGTCATAAATTTTTCCTGTTTATTTATAGTTAAATAGAAGTGATAGTGATAGTTCTATGCCTAAATACAAGAAAGGACCATTCCATCGTAATGCTCTAGAAAGGAGAAGTTTAAGATGGAAAAAGGTAAGAGTTTTTAGTAATATTAGGGGCTCTCACCAGCTGAATGAATTCGAATCGTTAATACTTTTTCAAATACGAACAGCAGTCATTAATTTTAAAAACAACTCTCTTGTAACTGAGTTGTGAATTGTGTTTGGAAATCATTACAATTTTTCCAAATATTTCCAAATTCCAATTTATTGCTGATATGTTGTTTTAGATTTTTTTATTTTGTTACCTGATTGTTTTTTTACTTTGTTTTTCAGCCTGAAGTAGAGACAACTGGTCCACCGTCTAGCGCCCTTCCCATGAGAACTTCCCTGGATCTAGAATTAGACTTACAAGCTAACCATACCAAACTGGATCATCTTAAAGATGAAATTGCTCGACTTAAAGACATCAATAAACGTTTATCTGATGCTAAAACCAAAGGTAAAATAAATCTGTTAGCTTTAAAAACAAGAGTTCAAGAAAGGCTTGGAAAAATATGACAGTTTTAAGACCAAATAAGGGCATTGAGTTTTTGAGTTCTCAGTTAGAGTCTTATGCCATACTGTATTTTGTCTAATCCTTGTAAGATTTAGAAGTATCACAGCACATTAAGAAACCGTTGTTCCTTAATGTATTTTGTCTATTTAATACCAAAAGATGTTGTCTTAACACCACAAAATATAAATGTGAATTTGGGTTAATTTTGAAAAAATAAATAATTAAATATTTCAGGTGAAACAGAGCTGCCACAATGGATGAATGATGATCAGAGTTTCCAGAACTTACTTTCAGAGGCTGAGAAATTGGTAAGTTTTGGTGTGAAATTCAATCTTAAGTTGATTTTGAAACAATATTTTAACTTTGGTTGATTTTGAAAATATGATAATCAACCAAACTAACAGAGTTTATAAAACTGGACATTGACTCTTACCTTCTTCCATGTTAAACTTCTTCTTTCTAGAACATTACGATTGGACAATCCTTTCTTATAATTAAGCCTAGAACTATCACTATCAATATTGTTGTGATATTGATATATAAAATAATAATTTGTAATGAACAGGTGACTAGTTTTAAAGTATTCAGGTTGATTTTGAAATCAGTGGTACTTTTTTATAAACAGGTTGATTTTGATAAAGTTTGATTTAATTGATTAATTAGTTAAAACAAGTTGTTACTCTGAGTTTCATGCTGTGTGATCTTCAGATAGATATTAAGGTTTAGAAAATAACATCAAGAACTATAAATAACAAGGGCTGATTTTAAATTTAAGTTGTTTGGATTGATTGGATTGAGATTTTAAAAAAAAAGGCTGTATGAATTGATTTTATATAAATTATATTTAACAAGTGGTTGATTTTTTGCTTTATGATAAATGTTGAATAATGGAATTAAATATTTTAATAGCAGAACCCTGATTCCAGAAAGCGTAAAATAAAAAAAGTTGATATTTTGTTTTCAGACTCTGTCATTATTAAAAAGATGTGTAAGAAACTTCATTTTGGCATTTTGATATTTTTGCATGAATTTTCAGATTTTCCCTAATATTTTTGTCATAATTTTCCTTTTTAGTGATTGTTCAAAATATTTAAGCCTGCCATTGTCCCTTTAACATATATTTTTTGATATTTTTTGATATTTTTTGATATTTTTTGATATTTTTAGAATTCCTATGTTAATTTTGAATAATTGATAGTGTTATTATTTGAGAACCATTGTTTTTAATATGATTATTTTACAACAGTTTTGACTGAATAGCATAAGTTTTTGTGAAATAAGAATCAAAAATCTAAACTGAATTTTAAAGAATTATTCATATCAATTATATGGATGTATGAAACTGTGACACAAAAATTATATTAACATAATTTAATAAACCATACAGATGACTGAATTATAATTTATTATTTTGATTACTTATTAAAGATGTCTTCACACTATAGTGATCACCAGTATAAAGTTTCTTACATATCTCTCATGCTACTGAGTTGTGAGTTGTGTTCAGATATCATGACCACTTTCATTATTCACAACAATATACAACTAGTAATCACTATAGTGTGAGGTTTTGAAGTTTTGTGTAGGTTATTTTTTTTTCTTCTGAAGTTATTTTTATCGATAGAAGCATGATTTAACTGGTAAATGAACTGTATAAAAACTATTATCAATAAATTGCATGATCATATATGAAACTATTTGGTTCTTACAATGATTTATTAAGTCATATTTTAAAAAGGTTATAATATTTTAACAAAGCCTTCAAATCACATTTAAACCTATTTCTAAACCTTGGATTGTGATTTGAAGTCTTTGTTGAAATATTATAACCTTTTTAAAATATGACTTAATAAGTCGAGGAAGGAGATATAAAATGGTTGTATTATGTTATTTCTATGTAAGAACTATATGTAGTTTTGTATGTGTTTTATCAGAGACAATATTTCAGGCATGTTTGAATCCAATCTTATTAAAAATAGATTACTGTTTTATATAACTTTTATTTTAACCAATTTTAATTCAAATACAATTACAGTTTCATATCTTTTTCTATTTCTGATACTTTTAGTCTACATTGTGATCTAAATTAACTTTCTTCCAAAGACCTGTCCCAATGATGTTAGTTTTAACCAATCAAAGCCTGTCGAGATAAAATAAGGAATTGTGGGATATCAAAAACTAATGTAAAGCCATATGACAGCTTCGTTAGAATTTTAGGTTGTTAGGTTAGATTATAACAATATTGTAACTCACTACGAGTAATTTTTTAACTAAAAACAAAAAACAAAAAAACACTAAAAATAAAATAAACAATAAATAGTAAATAATATATTTGTTTATATTTTAGGCTCAGAGAAATGAAATGAAAGCCAATTCATCAAAACAAGATCGTCGAGCAGAACAGTTGTTAAAACGAGCGACGAGAGATGTTCAACGAATGAGAAAAAACAGTCCAGCATCTAATGTTATTTCATTTAAGTAAGAATACCTTCTAATTTATAAACTGGTATGATTTTGTCAGAGTTGATACACAAGATTTTTAATGTGAATATGAACATTTCACAGTGGTTTATATACAATAATTACTGATTGAACCAAGTCCACGGGGCCCCACCCTCAGAAATAAAATGTAGGAGAGCATATGTTAAAAAAAGAATTCCAGGGGTAAGGCCCCAACCAACTTCAGTTCACTATATAGTTGAGCCTCTGACATTTTGGGAATTATTTAAAACAAATACAGTTGAAGAAGATTGTAAGAATTATTCCAAATGACCAAATCCATTAAGAATGATTTCATTGTATCATAAACATATTTTGGTTTTATTTTTTTATCCTAGCTATGTTGATATATCAATGGTCATCCCACCCTTAAGAAATGGATTTCGTCTGACAAAGAAGTACTGCTATGTGAACCTTTTTTAACTTCTGCAAATGATTTCTTTCAGAGAAAAAATGGCATTCATTACATCAGCTAAAACAACAGTTCCGGTTTTACCTGGAACCATCATGACAGAAATACCAAAAGATAGAGAGAGACTGGAGGAATTTCTAAGAGATGATAGGATTGGTGAAGAAGTATGAGTTATCTGCCCTTTGCTGATTGGTTGTTAGGCATATTGTTAGCAGCAGATGGCGCTAGTATTTAAAGACAGACGAACAGAATAGCAGACGTGTTGACAGACAGCATGAAAAATTTCAGAAAATCTCATTATAGATGATCTGAAAATTTGTTTTGTTGGAAAATGGAGGGATTAATAGTTGTCAGGAAGCAGACGTGAATGAAGTAAGGGGAGGTAACTCTAGTGTGATATCTGTGTTATGAGTGAATGGAGGAACTATGTAACTCTATAATTCAAGAATTCTGTGACAAAAATCTTACCAATATTCATTTTCTTTTCTTTTAAAATTTTTGGGGAGTAATTAGCTGTTTTAAACAATTATGATTTTAGTCTTTCAGTCAGGCTATATTCTCCAACAATAATAAAGATTGCAGGAAAAACCTTCCAGTAATGATTTATAGGGGAGGGGGTAATGATTTATAGGGGAGGGGGTAATGATTTATAGGGGAGGGGGTAATGATTTATAGGGGAGGGGGTAATGATTTATAGGGGAGGGGGTAATGATTTATAGGGATGAGGGGAGGTAATGATTTATAGGGGAGGGGGTAATGATTTATAGGGATGAGGGGAGGTAATGATTTATAGGGGAGGGGGTAATGATTTATAGGGATGAGGGGAGGTAATGATTTATAGGGGAGGGGGTAATGATTTATAGGGGAGGGGGTTATCTTCAAGGATCCTGGAACAGAAAAAGGTTAAAAACTCTGTCTGATTGAAAGATAGAATTCATGAGCTTTCTTTCACTTTCTTAATTGTGCCTCAAATGAAAATAAAATGTGTGTTTTTAATTAGTTTCGCGAATATAAATCATATAGAAAAATAAAAGAGTAGATTGTACATTCCACATTGTAGAAGAATTTTTACCCCAAAAACTTTCTGTGTATCAGCCTTTATAATATAAACTTTGAATTAGAATTTGATATTTTACCTTCTATGCAAATAGGTGTCTTGTATTTAGATTCAAAAATATTGAAATTGTGAACATAATGTGTTACTTTTTGTGTCAAACCTAAAGTCACGATTTATCTTGTTTATCGTGATATCAAACATATCGTGATACTTACAGTGGCATGATTAAAGTCACGATATGTATTGTATCTCTTTAATCATGATACGTATTGTGGCATGATTACAGTCACGATATGTATTGTATTTCTATAATCGTGATACGTGTTGTGGCATGATTATAGTCACGATATGTATTGTATTTCTTTAATGGTGATACTTACAGTGGCATGATTAAAGTCACGACATGTATCATGATTAAGATTGGTAATATTCAGCACTATTTTAAGGTTATAATGAAAGTTATATATTGCCCTAGTTTTTTCAGACTTGTACATTCTCATAAAGTTTCCATATATATTTGTATAAAATCCATATTTTACCATTGTTTGTATATATATGATCATACATTTGTTGTACAACCAAATCATAGCTTATGAACGTGTATTTTATTGTACAATATTATGATACATTTGTTGTACAACCAAATGATAGCATATGAATGTGTATTTTATTGTATAACATCATACATTTGTTGTACAACCAAATCATGGCTTAGAAATGTGTTTGTACAAAATTATCATATATTTGTTGTATCAATTCAATTCAAAAATCCAATTACGAACGATTCAAACCTGAAATCTAGTACAACATATTGGTAAAACACTGGTAGCAGCTGATGAGCTATTGAACTATTGAGTGGTTCAACATTTAAATGACCTAGAACTTTGGTTTCATATCAATGATGTTAGATCATGGATAGCAAGTGGAGTTGCCTGCAGAATAAAAACCAAATGCATCCTTTATTTTTGGATTGTATTCAGATATAAAACATTCAGTCATCAGGTATAAATTTTATTGTCTGTGATTCTCACTGAAAAAATCATCTAATGATTTGTACAACAAATGTATGCAAATATAAAATTACTTTGTAGTAGAACTATATTATATTATTATATTATTATTGTGTATAATTACCTTCAAACATTGAATACTGTACTGACTGAAATTGTTGTACAACAGGCCAGTAGCTGAGGTAAGACCAGCCCCTCTTGCCCCCTCAGAAAAATTTTGCATCCCATGAAAAGTTTACCTATTGTTGAATCACATAGTTAAGCCCCTTAAAAATTATTGTTCCCTCCCCCTGAGACCCCTAGGGTAGCTACAAGCCTGTTGTACAGTCTTAATGTACATTTCTGTACCATTTCTGTATCATTTAATATTACAATGAAGTACAGTTCAACATTACTGTTAAATTTAAATGAAAAATTCTCAGAATTTGAATCCCTGTCTGTTAAAACACACCCCAATCTTACAAACCCTAATTCACCTACCAAAACTATACATTACTTATTTAAATATAGGCTGGGTGACTGGGTAGGGATGAAAATTATTAGGTTTTAATAACTAACTTTATTATCCCATATTTAAAGAGATTGTAAAGATGTTTTCTAAATATTTTATTTGTGTCAGGGATATCATCAATTTACACCACATCAATCAGCCATATGGAGGTCATCAAGCACTTGGTTTTAGTGAAATTTCAGGAACCACAGACGTCTGATTGAAAATTGGAATGGTGCAAATTGATGCTATGAATGTCTCTAAAAAATGTAGAAAACCTAAAATACCTAAGTATAAAAATTATCAGTGAATGAGATAGAAGTTTGTTTTTTATATTTTGTAGATAATTTATCATCCTGCATATCAAAAATAATTGTTGTGGTTTGTATAAAAAGCTATTTAGTGTATATATTATAAAACTTGTACAGTTGTACATAATCATACAAATGTTATATAACTCTATATTCAAAACCATATTTGTACATACTGTTATCATTATTATCATTCATAATTGTACATAGTTTTCATAAAATGTACATATTTTTCATATAATGTACACTTTTCATATAATGTACACTTTTCATATAATGTACATTTATATATCATTGATATAATTATAAATTATAATCTCCCATTTATAGATATAATATCATGTATCTATTATAAATATGATGATTATATAAAGACTCAGGATTGTACATAGAACATTTACGATGTTTTCAAAACTACAAAACTCAATTGTAACATTTATATATTTTGCATAAAACAGATTTAAAAACTTTAACAAATTAATTATGTGTCTGTTTCTTTATCAATCTACAAAATCTAGCTAGGTGAACACACTAAAAGTGACGAGGACTTAAAAAAAACCTTTTTGCCAGGACAGAGGTATTAGCCTATTCTTTTTCGATCTCCAAATGTCGAGAGGTTTCCTTGCTTTATTGTCCTATCCGAACGACTAGACGCTTTTCCGTAACTTTCATTTTGTTAGTGTCTCTTGACTCTGTGACCTCTGAAGTTTTTTCTCAAATGTCCGATGCGAGATCAGTTTCATTAACAAAAACTTTGATGGAACCGGAGACGTGACATATAGCAACTGTTTCTCAGATCAATGAGATAAAATATCGTCTAAAATCGTTACTCAAAACAAAGGTATTACATGTATCATATCTACTAAAAGCTTGTGATGAGACGAATGCTATGAAATAATATTTGAAATGAAATGAAAAGAATGAAGTTTTACGTCCTACTTACAATCATAATTGAGTCAAAGTTAGGAATCTTTAGGAGGTCATTACAAGTTTATCGAGTTATTATCACCGTTGTTTCCAAACATTTTGTGTAGTACAAAGACAATTAAAACTCGCCTAAAGAAAGGCTCATAATTGATGATAATTTTGAGTAATTACCTAATCCAATCAAGTGTTAAATGATCGGTAGGGTGTAAAATTGCGATATACTAAGAAAGTAGCCTAATCTAAAAGTTTATCGACCTATGATAAAAGATATGGTAGAAAAATAACAATATTGTCACTAACAAGTATTGGATTACTACTCGGGATAACTGCTATATACTGAATTCAGAATGAATAGAATTTTTGTTAGTTAAATTTCGATCTTATATATTTTTGTGCGCTACACTTTGATCACTTTTGATATTAATAACTACTACAACTAAATATTGGAATATTCACACTGTGTTGTACTATTTACAATGTGCTGTGGGTGAGCCAATTTATAAATACTGATTTAATTTTTCAATTAGTTATATTCGTCTTGGTGCCTAAACCACACATTATTTAATTTAACATTTCTTGACTGATGGACTGACTAGTGTGGAAAAACAGTTCTTTGACGCGTCTGTTTACTGACGTATTGACGTGTGACGAAGACCAGTTCTTTGACGCGTCTATTTACTGACGTATTGACGTGTGACGAAGACCAGTTCTTTGACGCGTATTGACGTGTGACGAAGACCAGTTCTTTGACGCGTCTATTTACTGACGTATTGACGTGTGACGAAGACCAGTTCTTTGACGCGTCTGTTTACTGACGTATTGACGTGTGACGAAGACCAGTTCTTTGACGCGTCTATTTACTGACGTATTGACGTGTGACGAAGACCAGTTCTTTGATGCGTCTGTTTACTGACGTATTGACCTGTGACGAAGACCAGTTCTTTGACGCGTCTGTTTACTGACGTATTGACGTGTGACGAAGACCAGTTCTTTGACGCGTCTATTTACTGACGTATTGACGTGTGACAAAGACCAGTTCTTTGACGCGTCTATTTACTGACGTATTGACGTGTGACGAAGACCAGTTCTTTGACGCGTCTGTTTACTGACGTATTGACGTGTGACGAAGACCAGTTCTTTGACGCGTCGATTTACTGACGTATTGACGTGTGACGAAGACCAGTTCTTTGACGCGTCTGTTTACTGAAGGTCTGAAGTTTTTACCTAGGTAAACTCGAACTAAACGTATCAAGGCATACTTAAACTTTCTGAACACCTGAGACATTTTTGTGATTGAATAAGACTTTTTTTTTATAGAGAGTTCACATAATTTATTTTGTTATATAACTTTTTTTTGGTGAAGACTCTTTTGTATTGACACAGCTAAACATTTTTGATGCTTTCTGGATAAACCCAACCATAAATCATTGAGATAATATTATTTTTCTCTTTATTAGTTATAATTCTTAAATTTGTACACAGCACTAATTTAATTAGAATGACGATTTGATTTGCAAGTTTCTTAAAATTTCGTTTTTTGATGTAGTAGTTTTGATAAACATAAGTTATAAGTTTGTAAGGTAGCATCGACGTTTTGACGTGTGGGACGTGTTTACTGACGTGTGTTACATGTTAACTAACGTGTGTGACGTGTTAACTAACGTGTGTGACGTGTCTACTGACGTTTGACGGAGATCTTACTCACATAAATGTTGAACGGAGAAATTGATGGTATGACTAAACTACAAAAAATGTTCATCTTTTCAAATATACATGCGCAGATGCAGAAAGTCTCTATTTAACAGGGCCTATTGATTATGTCACTACACCAGCCGACATCTGTACAAATAGCTATCAGGGGCTGGAATAGAGATTGATATTTCGGTCTACACTGACAGAGGAAAGCCGACTATCCCAGGACGTGTACCAACCAACTTCTAGCCTTCTCAATATTCAGATATCGTTGTTATTTACTTAAATATTACAACACAAAAAATTGTCGGCTTCTTTGCGTTTACATTTATTTATTTTATGTCCGTTATTGATAAGTGTTGTCATAATATTAATAATAACGAGATAGCGAGAAAAGAACGATTTCCGTAATATATTTTCAGTATATCAAGAGTGGGTGGTGTCCATGTATATACTGTCTGGATAAACAAAAAAAAAAGACTTTTTGACCTTTCTTGATCGGTCACTCATTGGAATTCTGCTGGTAATTTTCTTCTAATTTAGCTAATTATGAATTTATTATGAACATGTGAGACAAACTGATATTTTTCCAAGTCATTAGAACACCTTTACTTTCTATTCATATAAATAGTGGCTTTTTCATTTTAAAAAATGAAAATAAGGGAACCCATCTTAAAGGCTTTGTACCATGTCACCTCAAATTATCATCGTAGCGAAAGGTATTTATAGGATGTTGATGGATGCCCTTATATATTAAAGAAGAATTGAGTGGTTGCTATATAAAGTGATATCTATAATATTGTCGAGTGACAGGAAGACCATTCGTTCGTTTTGGGACCCATCTCCACTCACAGAAGCGTCGTTACGATACGAAAGGGCACACGTAACGAATTTTATCGTTCGCATATTCGCACTGAATGACTGGAAAATTCAGTAACATGCAAGAAGGTGCCTTTCTTTCTATAATATTTCTGAGAGCTATAAAGATACGGTGTCACCAGCTCAACTGGAACGTTCTCATGTCGCTATACTCTGCAATCGAATTCGCACTTACTGTCCAACCCCTTTTGAATAAATCCTGCGTACGCACCTTCTCTAAATTAGTGTTGGGCATCACTGCAAATTGAGTTTTTTTAGTATCACGGGACTCTGTGACCTTTGAATTATTGGATGCGCACGCAGTTTTAAATGGCCGATACGAGATCAGTTTCTTTAAAAAAAAAAAAAAACTATGATGGAACCAGAGGCGTGACATAGATGGTGATGGTATGACTGAACTGCAAAAAAATTTCATCTTTCGAAATATATCTGGGATTTGCAGATCCGAGGTATCCAAATAGGCTTAAACTCTCGCACCTGTGGAGATGTGTAGGACGTAAAACTCCATTCATTTCATTTCAATTCCTGTGGAGATGCGAAAAGTCTCCATTTAACATAGCTTTTGTTCTATGCCTCTGCCTCTGTCCCAGCCGACACGTGTCCAAATAGCTATCAGAGGCTGATATAGAGACAGATGTTTCGGTCTACGTATAGCAGTTCGCTCATTATAAATTCTAATATTATTTGTTATTTATCACATATAAGATATTGTAGAATTTGGTGACAATGCCCGAGTAATATAAATATATAGAGAGAGAAAAAACGTGAGTCGAAGTCAATATTATTCAGTAATATTGTATTTACTTTTAAACAGCTGTGCTCTAGTTGAATTCGTTTGAACACATTTTTATTTTTTTGGAGTTTCTAAATCATTTTGTGAAATTAAACACGCGAATGTTTACCATTATTGCTTAATAAGTAGATTTGTGCATCACTATAGTGTCATGTGCTATGAAAGGACAGTACAGTTAATGAACCATTTAAAAGACAGGTAAAATATATCACCTTTAATGATTTAAAAAAAACGCACAAACAGAAAAAAAAATCAATCAAAATATTAATAGAGGCTTAGAGCCACAGAAAATAAAAAAAACCACAAATTTACTTTTAGGAATGAACTGGAATTTGTTCATCAAAATGTACTATATAAATTAGTGCTGAACACTATTTTAACAGTGGTATTTCTATATCACTCTACAATTGATGTACTGAACACTATTTTAACAGTGTTATTTCTATATCACTCTACAATTGATGTATAGGGCACTATTTTAACAGTGGTATTTCTATATCACTCTACAATTGATGTACTGAACACTATTTTAACAGTGTTATTTCTATATCACTCTACAATTGATGTATAGGGCACTATTTTAACAGTGGTATTTCTATATCACTCTACAATTGATGTATTGGACACTATTTTAACAGTGGTATTTCTATATCATTCTATAATTGACGTACTGAGCACTATTTTAACAGTTGTATTTCTATATTGCTCTATAATTGATGTATTGAGCACCATTTTAACAGTGGTATTTCTATATCGCTCTATAATTGATGTATTGAGCACTATTTTAACAGTGGTATTTCTATATTGCTCTATAATTGATGTATTGAGAACTATTTTAACAGTGGTATTTCTATATTGCTCTATAATTGATGTATTGAGCACTATTTTAACAGTGGTATTTCTATATCGCTCTACAATTGATGTATTGAGAACTATTTTAACAGTGATATTCTAATGCTCTACAA